TCTTGTTCAAAACAAATAAAAAGAACTAAATAACTAAAGGACAATGTTTTAAAAAACTTCCGCCTAGCCTACTTAAGCGTATGCCTAGACATAGGAGGTACATAGACCGCCTACCTAGCGACTAACGCCCATGTGGTACCTAGGTTGCCCACTTAGCTTTTTGGAGCGCCTAGGGGAGTGTAGATTGCTTACGTCTTGTTCAAAACAAATAAAAAGAACTAAATAACTAAAGGACAATGTTTTAAAAAACTTCCGCCTAGCCTACTTAAGCGTATGCCTAGACATAGGAGGTACATAGACCGCCTACCTAGCGACTAACGCCCATGTGGTACCTATCTTGTTCAAAACAAATAAAAAGAACTAAATAACTAAAGGACAATGTTTTAAAAAACTTCCGCCTAGCCTACTTAAGCGTATGCCTAGACATAGGAGGTACATAGACCGCCTACCTAGCGACTAACGCCCATGTGGTACCTAGGTTGCCCACTTAGCTTTTTGGAGCGCCTAGGGGAGTGTAGATTGCTTACGTGAATTGCACCTTTTGGGCTTTGATCGTGATTTCCTCCGTTGCGGCCTTCACGTCCTCCAACCTCCTCCAAACTCCTCGAGGCTTTAACTATGAACACCTCTTCCACGTCCTTCGACTTTTATCCTTCACCACCACTTAAACAAACAAAGAAATCCTTCTAGGTGACAATTCGACACTTAAGCTTTATATAACAATGACATTTACTATCAATTATTATAATAAAAAAATATAAATAGGAAAACCACTTAGGCCACGCCCAGACTCCTACCTAGACACCTAGACACTAGGTGTGCCTAATTTGCCTAGCGCTTTATGTAACCTTCCTAACGAGCATGCGCTGCAGGACTCTAGTTAACTTTATCATTTTTTAATTGTTTCTCGTTTGGAGAAGTTGTTTCTGATGATGGGCTTTTATTAGCCCGGCCCAATACCAAGAAAAATCTCTTCAATAATAAGATTAAATCGAAGAGAGTTTCAAGCAGATACAGCACGACTTCAACCGTAAATCCTAAATTTTTCTTTCGAACTGCGATTTTTGTTTGGGTTTACTTTCTCTCAGTTCCTCACCGTTCAAAGCCCTAATTTTTACACCAAAACCACGATTTTTATTAACAGTGTTCATCGAAACCTAGCTCGAACCTATACTTAGCTATCCACTATGAACTGCGAAGCATGCCAACTCAAGGAACTGGTAAAACTCTCATCTTTGACGTCGGATCTCGTCTTATTTCGCGTTTATTGATCGATGGGGATTTGATTACGCTGAAACCCTAATTAGATTTTCGATGTGTAGGCTCTTTTTTTAAGTTGTTTGATTTGTTGACTAATTCGGTTGATTGATCATTGAATTAGGTGCTTGAGCCCGTGGAGATCCGCGAGGTGTTGCGATGTAAGATTGTTCTTGCTTTATTTCGCTATTTCTTGTGATAATCTTTATACCAAAACCACGATTTTTTTTAACAACAAAATTCACAAAACTTAAGCTAGATCAAAATCCCCAGAAAGTATCCTTTACAGTCATCAAGCTATTACAAAGGAAAGATAAATTTAGCTATGGCATATAGCAAGCAACTAGCCCTATACTACTCCACATCATCTCAACAAAGAAATTACACTTTACGAGCTTTCCAAAAGAAGATAGCTTAGAGATGAATCCTACCCATGAATGCAGATGAAAACTTAACAGCAACTAGCCCCCAAACGGGGGCTCTTATAGAAGTGGACCCAAAGTTGGTCGGTTAATGGATGGAGTGCGTCGGGATTGGACTGATGGGTTTGAATTAGTATTACGTTATCCCTTGGAATTATGCCATCTAAAAACAATGGCATAGTACTCATTGGAGGAAATACATCTTAGAATAATGAACTGAAACTATAACTTTTGCATCATAAAATCAACTGATATTTCTTTTGACTATTGTGCATCGCACGTACATGTCCTATTATGAACTCTCTGTACAAGATGCCCAAACATATGCCCTTTGCTACAACTTTATTGCTCATTAAAGAATATGTCATTGCACGATTCTTACTAGAAGACTTTGATCATGTTACTTAAACCGGTGGGTTTCAGCTGTTATGCAAATTGTTCTTAAAAACTGATTTTGATTTTTTTTTAATGTTGACCTTAGTAAAAAAGGTATACAAGTGCTCTGGCTTCTTCAAAAAGGCAAGTCTCAGATCTAACTTGAGAAATTTGTGGCCTACTAGATTTGAAAGGCTCAAACTGCAATGTTGTTTCACTTATTTTAGTTGTCCTTATTTATTCCACATGATATAATTATTCCTGTATCCAACTTCTATTAGTGATTGGACTTGCCTTCTTGGTAGTTCTGTTACTTCATATGTTTGATTAACTGTTAGTTTGAATCACTTTTCTTTTCTAGATATTTTTAATCTATTGAATGCAGGCATATTGCATACAATTGTATTTAACAGAGCACTGGGACTTGTTCGGCCAAAAGATGTAGATTGTGAACTTTTTGAAATTACTTATGTGAGTAATTCTCCACCTTGAATGTACATGATATATAGGTCCTTTTGTTGCTCATTCTAATGAAATGAATATTGTTAACTTGTTGAAGAAAACATGAAAAAACAATGTCTAAATCTTAGCTTGTTTATTTGTTATATGAAATGAGAGAAGTGGTTAGAGATTTGTGGATTAATTATACTGTCACATCTTATTGCCTTGGTAATTTAAAAGCGCATTTTTAATTCTCTCTTTGCGAGTTTATTGTGTGCGTGTGAGACTATTGATGTTAGACAATGCGTGTGGGATTATTGGTGGGTGTGGGATTATTGGTGTTAGACCATGGATATCTCACCAGACATGCAGATTGCAATTTATAACTGAAAGCAGAATGCCTTACTTTCTTTTCCTTTTGTCCTTTTGCCACGATATTTATGCGTTTTTGTCTTTCTTTCTACTTTCGTGTTTAGGGGTAAAATTCATAAACTCTCTTATAGATCCTTAAGCACAGAGAAATCTGCGAAACCTAGCAAAGAACAGGAACAATGTATCTGAAGAAAACCCTTATCCTTTTAATTTCCCAATATGCTTCTTCCACGTTTTCCCTGCACCATGAAACGCTAAGTGATTATTGTCATTTAGTTCATGAATAATTACCTTTCCAGGTTATGATAGTAAAATAAATTGCAATTGGCCCATATGACAGCAGCATGGGAGTAGTGGCGAGAAATGTTTTTTGTTTTGTTTTGTGTTTGAACATCCAAACACCTGCATGTGTGTTGTGGGGAGAGTGGAGTCAATGAGATATAGTTTTTATCTAATAATTAAGTCCGATTGAACTTTTAAGTGTTTGATAAAGTTTCACACCGAGTTGCATGATTGCAAGGTTAGGTGATCCATGGGTTTCCATCATTCAATTGCATTGCAAAATTAACCTGGTTTTGGTTGGGATGTTCCCAGGATTTGGGAAGAGAAAAAACTAAAAATATGTTGCCTGTGTACCTTTGTTTTGGATGAATCCTCAGCTACAAGTTCAGCTGAAAATAAAAAAGCCATATGATGTTTTTTGGAATATAATATGGTATGTGTTAGAATTTGATTTTTGTTAAAGTAGAGTATTACCTTATGTAGAGTATACAATTGTAATTAACTATGATTTAAATTTATCTACAGGGAAGTTTATGTTGTTATCAGTCAATTTCCAAGGGCTAACTTCATGACCGCTATAAGTCCTCAATCTAGTAACATTCTTCTAGCTTTTAGAGGAGCATTTATCTAGCTAGATCACTGCCCCGCTAAATGTCAACTAGCTAGATTGATACAAACTGAAGTCAATTAATCCCTTACCTCTTTTTTTCTATCTCAGTATACCTTTTACTTGTGCAAAGGTCTCATTTCCCAAGTGATCATGACTGTGACCAATCATCTTCCCAATTGGCACAAATTGTGACTTCTTAGGCTCTATGTGCTCATCCTCTTAAATGTAGGTAAAGTTTTAAAAAGTCACTATTGCCACTTAGCCATGCCTATGCCCATAAATAATTAGTCCAATTCACTTCTTCATCTAAGTATATGGCTTCTAATCTATACTACTTTAAAAAGAGGATTGGAGAGTTAAAACTTTTAATTTTCCTTTTTTTCCTCTCAAATTTTGATAAAATTTAACTATGCCATTATATCTAATTAATCTTTCATTAAATAAATATAACTTTTATTAATTATGCACCTTCTCGTCTTCCTAAATAATTATAATTATCAAAAATATTATAACTATTAATTGTTTAAAAATAATAAATAAAATAGGTAATACACAATTATTAGTAGTAACCAATTAAATTATTATAATAATTATTTATGAATTATAATAAATAATTAAAATAATAGTATAAATAGAACAATATATTTAATTATACTCTAATTCAATGATCAATAAAATAAATAGAATAAAATTTGAATCACATAAATAGTGTAATTATTTTAATAAAATTTGGTAAATTACAAATTACACTATTTATTTAGTATTATTTTATTAAATAAATTAAATAAATAATTTAATATTATTTTTAAAGTGTTTTCTCAAAGATTATTATGTGATGCTAAACAATCTATACTTGGCAATGATTGAAAACTAACCTTTTTACAAAAAAAAATATTTAATATTAATGATAAAATAAAAATTTATGAAATATTTATAGTACTAAATTATTTAAGAGCATAGTTAAAAAATTAAATTAAATAAATATTTTTATAGTATATAGACAATATAATTATTTCAATAGTATTATTTAAACTAAGAATTATAATATTAAATAATGTAAATTACAATAAGCCCTTACGAACTTTCAGCATTTTGCAGTAAATGGATCATATGAACTTTCAGTTGATAACTTTTGTAGAAAGCCCCTAATATCTTTTAGATAAATTAAACCAAACCCTCGGTAACTTTCAAAATGCCTTTTTATGCCATTTTCTGGTTCTAATTTATAGGGGTTATCTGCAAAATCAAAAATTTATTAGGGGTCTTCTTTGAAACAGAAAAATCATTATGGTTTTAGTGTAATTTTGAAAATTCATATGGGCTGAAAGTTCATAAGGGTTTAGTGTAATTTACCCTATTAAATAATTATAATGAGAAATAACTATCACAATATGTTGCAGGTATCAAGTGTAACTATCTAGGGAATATCAGGAAAAAGCTAGCAAAATTAATGTAGCTTAGTTAATTTATAGTTAAGTTAAAAAATTTTAACTTAGAGTGGCATATTTAAGAGAACTTATAGAATTTGCAGTTTTATTTAAGAACAATTTTAGATTTGGAGGCTTATTTAAAAAAGATTAACACTAGGCAATCATTATAAGAAAAAACATTCAATTATAATAACTACATAATAATAATAAATTCATGCATTTCTTTTTAAGCCATCTTATTATACAAATTTATTTTTTAACACATAGTTTTACTATTCAAAATAAAAAATTCAAAACTTAAAAAGATGTAAGTTCACGTGCAAAGCACGTGCATTATACTAGTTTTACGAAAGGAACATTAGAGATCTTCATCCTCAACCATAAGCCTAGCTGATTTTCTCTTTTCCATTCATCATTTAGCGTGGGTGCTAATTGATATGTCACTGATGTTTTTTTTCTCTTGTGGCACTATTTATGTGAATTGAGGATAAAACCGTACCTTGTTTCAGAATGCATAAATTTTGTTTTTCTAACTGTTATTATATTTTCTTGTGTAAACTTATTGCTTCTCATTGTGCAGGTACAATGTGGAGATCCAGAGTTGGAGAAGAAAATAGAGGAGAAGATTGACCACTTCATTGGTTGGGTGGAGAAACATCCAAACAGGAAAAGCCAGGTTTGCATGGAGGAATAATGAAATACAATTTAAATGAGTGCTTTTAGACTTGGCCTTCACTATATACATCTGTCGTTGTTATTGAAAAATGAAAATATAAGCTGGCTATTACGTTCTCAAATTGTCGTTATTGTCAGACCTTTCACATTTCTTCAACCTTTTGATATGTCTGTTAATCTTAAGATTGAAAACTGCATTCTGCTAATCCAGCAACTTATAAACCGGTGATAATTGTAATCTATAAACTATAGACTATGGACCTAGCTATGTTATCTGAACTATAAGTTGCAAAAAGTACAGTCGACATAGCTGACTATTATGTCCTAAGATTGTTGTATCATCATATCTTTCACATTCTCTTAAGCTTTTGATCTATCTGATAATCTTTAATGTGGCAACTATGTTTTAATAATCCAGTAACTTATAAACCAGCTATAATTGTAAGATTATGGACCTGACGATGTTATACCAAGATATCTGAAACTATATGTTGCAAGCAGTACAGTTTTCATCAGCTTCAGTATATTAATTAACTATTATCTTTGCAGGTGTCTTTGTCTTTCTACGAGGTCAAGAACAAGCAACCGACCTGGTTCAGTAACAAAATTGAACGCCTTTACTGGGAGCAATGGCACATTAACTTGCATGTGGTGACTCCCAAAATACACGGAAAGTCTCATCATTCTAAGGCATCTGCACTTTCTCGAGGTACATGGCTAATTAAGTAAATGGGTCAAATATAGGGTTCTTTGCGGATGGACCTAGGGGTGGAAATGAACCAAATAATTAACAAATAGTTTGTTAATTGTTCGAATAACTATTCGGTCATATTCGATTTGGTAGTTTATTTACCACTAAGGAGGGTTAGTCACTTAGAACTTAAAATTGGAACTGAGATAATATGTGAGATAAATTTTTAAGATATTAGTCACATAGAACTAAAACTAGAACAAAATTTTATAGTGTTAGTCAAGTAGAACTCTAACAAAACTAGAATTGGGATAATGGTACAAAATTATCCTATTTTTTTATTTTTCTATACAAAAATGAGAGTTCTAGTCTCTCAAATTATTCCAAGTTTTAGCTTGGAACTAGATGATAAAAAACTAGAATTCATATTCATTTTGTTATTTTTTTATTTTTTATATTTTTTTACTTCTTTCCTATTATGGTTATCACCATCATTAAACCATTATTATAATAATAATTATCAATATCTTATTGTCTAACCAAAAGTTATTTAATAGTAAAGAACATTCTTGTAAGCAATTATTAATCAATAATAGTAAGTTTAAAATACATAAATAGTATTTATAACTTCAAAATGCATAAATATATATTTCATGATTATAAAATTTTATCCCACATTATTTTATCAAAATATCCCGCTTCACAAAATGGATCCTATTTATCCCACTAAAATATCCCACTAGCGAAAAATTATTCTACTTTAACAATTATCTTATTTTGCATGAAAATGTCCCAATTGACTAACACCTCCTAAACAAATATTTTTTAGTATTCGAGTTTACTAACGAATAGAATTTAACCAGATGTATATTCGATTCGTTTATCTATTAAATATTCGTTTAAAATTTGATCACACCTTATTATTTGTATTATTGCACATATGATGTTATATTTTTAACTCACTTACCATTTCTACTTAAGTTTTATATACTGATTTTAAGACTTAAATAATCTTAAATCTGTTTTCTAATTAAAAATTTGATTTAAATATATACATCATATATTATAAAGAAATAATTTATATTTATGAATTTTAATATTATTTGAAAATCAATTTTTTTTGCAGAATAAATATACTTTGATATTCGATAAGTATTTGTAAATATTCATGAATATTTATGAAATACCAAGTATTCGAGTTTCGAAAAACTAGATATATGAATATTAGAGTTTGCATTCGAATTCGATAATTTTAAACAAATACAAATACGAACACCTTAGTATTCGATTCAATTCGATCGTTTACCACCCCTAGATGGACCCCCTGCAGTATCATTATTTAAACTTACTATCCCTCTAGTTTTATTTTTGCATATAGGCCCCATGAGTGAAATGTTTTAAATTTTTTACCCTCAAGAGGAAGAGAAATTTGTTTTTTGAAATAAACCGGTGCAAGAATCTATAAATGTTCACTCAGACATCTCTCTGTAAAAATAAAACTAGGGGGGTAGTTAGTTCAAAACCACGATATCATAGAGGGTCTGTCCGCAATTAACCCAAAATTGTGTATATCAATGTACTACTGCTGCAAGTTCTCATTCAATGTTATAGCAGAAACTGCAATGGAAGAGAGCAGTTCCCGTCGTGCTGCCTTGGAGTCTTCCCTCCGAGATGTCTTGTTTCAGGTCATAAAATTCGTCAACGAGAAGAAGGATCATATTCCTTCAATATCCAATTCTGAAGTGATATCATTCCCCTATGAAATCACCATCCCAAGGTTTGTGCTTTTCTTGAACACTTGACCTATCATTTTCTTGCTTGAGCAAATAAAACTTGTGAAGGAATTTCTAAATGAATCTCCAGGTGACTTTTCTTTTTTCCTTTCGGTGTGTTCCACAGTTCATCAGATTCTTCGTTTGGGTGGCACACCGATGTCATCAAGAGGATGCTGCAGACTGGGAACCCTAGCATGCTGAGCTGATCATTTTAACCGGCAAGTTATCTTACTCGTATGCTGTAAAAATACGAAGATAAATGCTCATTTTATATGTCATTTAAATATCGACACTGGATTGATTGATTGATTCAGGATTTGTACAGAAGAAAGGTGAAGATGTAAGAGCAGGTGTTTCGCTGAGAGAGAGTGAGCACTGAGCAGTAACCCTTTAGCTTAATTTGTACAGAGTTCATACTGTGTAGTATATTTATCATTAGTATATGAATTTATAAATTATGTCGCAGACGGATAAGTTTATGTAATGTCTGGAAAAATTAACTTTTATCGGTGTATATTTTATGGTATCTGCTATTACTATGCTGTGGAGGTATTTGTTGCGTGAACTTTGCCCGCATATATGACTATATGCGTGTAGTAGATAATATGGTTGATGAAATTGGCGTTGGACCAGTCATTAGGGTATGAAGGCCGTATATGTGCTCTACGGTAGTTTTTATTTTTCCCAGATAATCCTAATTTTAGACGAAAATATATTTTTACAGGGAGTGATCATACTCGTTCAATTCTTCTCTTTCGATTTGGAAATGTTTTGTCTTTGGGATGTTTTGGAATCAGGCTTGAGGGATTCACATATCCGTGGACTGAGAGAGCTTCGAAACCAAATACATTAACCAAAATGCAAATAAACATGGTGCTAAAAGAACCTCCTTCAAAAGGTCTTAAATATAATCTACTTAAGCAACGTATTAATTTAATTTACTTCTCCAATAAAATAATCAATTCAGGGGGCATCAAAGGTTACAAAATGGCTAAATAATCACTTTGCCACTTTTAAGCAGGACCTTGTTTAGATTTTTTATTTTTTTTTTCTCTTTTCGTTGGAGACATTATGGTAGTAACATCTTGGTTTAATTGTGGATAGACCACCTGCAGTATCACTAAATTGTGAGCAGACCCCTGTAGTTCTATCAGTTATGATAGACCCGCAAACCCCCTGTAGTTCTATCAGTTATGATAGACCCGCAAAAAAATTGACCCGAGTCTGAATACGCCCGTTAGCGAAAATTTTGAATCTTTTTAAAATAGAGAAGTTACCAATTGGGAGGGTCTATCGTCACCAATAAAACTATTCAGTGACCACCTGTATTATCACTAAATATTTTTAATAATTTTAAGAGGGAACAAAAATTCACTCAGGGTGCCTATTTGCAGCAAATAGAACTACAAGGAGCCTATTTGCAATGGAATGATACTAAGGGGGTCTATTCGCAATTAATCCTCATACCTTCTACATAAAATGACGCCAATCTGATTATTTTTCTATATAAAATAATATTAACTGGGTATGAAAAGTCAATATTAATATTATAACGTTGTCAATGAGTAAAAAATATTAAATTATAAACACGATCCTATTGAAATACTAATCTAGTAATTTAGCCTTTAGAGAATCCTAATCTACGAAATGAAGCGTCACGAGGTATTATTGGATTTTTCTTTCGGGATATTCGTCCCTCGAGATATTTATTTTGAAAATCGATCTCAAATTTATTTCTAAATTAGTGCAAAAAAGTACATATAAGTGAAAATATTTATATTTCCAGGGTGTTTTCCGAATAGATTCTTGCAAAGCGGCTTGCCTCTGGCCATCTTTTCCCTTTTTAGCGCCACCTCTCGGTTCTCTTCACTCGGCCAAAATTCTCACTCCCAAACCCTAGAGAGACAAAGAGAGACCAAATCCCTAGAATCTAGAGAGATAAACAGTTGCTGATCATCGGCCGANCGGTAGCATCACCATCAAGGTCCACGACGATTCCGTCCCCAAATCGCAGCAACTCATCGTCATGTCTCCCTCCGGTATTTAAAAAAAAGATTTTTTTCCTTTTTGGGATATTGGTACCTTAAATGTTGGATATTTTGAAATTAGTCCCTCGCTATTTAGTCAAGTTTTAACATTGGTCGGGTTCAGTGATTAATTCTGTTGTGCGTAGCGGAACCGAAAATGACAACCGAAATAAAAACAAGTACCACAGCAGGTAAGACATCAAATTTACGTGGTTCGATAATATGCCTACGTCCACAGGGCAATGAGGGGATAGATCTCACTAATAGAAAAAAGTACAAATAGAGATTACAATCACTCAATAATCTCACAAACAAAAAATCACTATTGATTTCTTTTTCTCTTAATCTCTCTCATAAAATTACTCAAACTCTAATTGTTCTCTTAATAACTCTTCCTAACTGATCTAAGCTTTGATGGAGATCTCAAGCTCTGATGCATTGAACGAAGGAAGAGGAGAGGGGATTTATAGGCTTCATACCCTCTCATTTGTCAACAAAAAACGGGCAGCGGAGCTCTTTTTGTCAACACCGAAAGAGCCTGATGTTGTTGACAAAAACAAAGCCTTCCACAGAAAGCTCTTCAATCTGCCTCCATTTTTTACCTCCCACCGAAAGCTCTTCATCCTTCATTTTCAACAAGAGTGGCTGCCACCCAACAATCTCCATCTCGGTGAAGTTTTCCCAAAACTGAGCAGACACCAATACCAATCAAATGTCTCACTTGTTGCATCCAGTACGAAGTGGAATAAATCCACGACAACGGTCTCAATCCACAACAAGTCGAGAACCCAAACGAAAATACGAACAAATTCCAAATGTCAGTATAAACTCACCAAATCGGTTGCATCATAAAATGACTGTCTATGTATCCTCTTGTCCAAGGAATCAAGTCTCACGTAGTTCACCAAATAGCCTCCAAAGACCCTCAATCAACTAGAAGAATTCACAACTCTTCTCAAACATCACCAACATATCTGCAACTGATAGCTCTCCCAATGACCCCAAAGTGAAACAAACCAAACATCTCTACCTGAGGTGAACCAACGGTCATATCCAAATCCGAACTATGTTCACCAGCTACACTCGAAACAATCAACTCATCATCTGTATCCACATCAACATGATCCCTAATCTGTGTCACCTCAGCTGGAATCCCAAACGATACAGTATGATCTAGAGTATGTGGAGTAATCTCCACCCAATGTGAAATAATATCATCATCCACCCGCTACGATATCTTAATAATCTGATCAACACTCTCCACCTGTCGAGAGTCAAATGTGACATACCTGCTCAGAACAAAAAATCAGAGTCTCTCAAGCAAAAAATCAGAGTCTCTCAATTGATAACCAAACGAGCCTCTGAATCCCAAACGTACACTCGGATCAAATCTCACATTCTCAATGTGACCATATGTTGGGCAACCAAATATCCGAAACATTCTAAAAACTGAAGCAGCTCTACCAAATCTAAAATCTCTAAACGCAGCAGTCGGCAACCTATGACTAAGATGACTCAAATATGTCAAAAATACCAACACCAAAATCAATGTTCAACATCAACCGCTGATCCTCCTCCAGTAAGGAACGACCCATTAAAACTGTCATCTCATCTTGTCGTCCTAATGTTTTTTTTCCAATGAAGTGTCTCAAACTGTCGTGAGCTTGGCACAAATACAGAAAAGAACCTCTACCAAAATTAGAACAACGTATTACCTTTCTGCCAATACATTTCTTTCACCTATTGTTGACTACTAGGACTTCACACCAACGAGACTTGGTTGCAATCCACAAATATCTAGAACAGTTACAAACACAGAAAATCAAATACCTATTACCTCCCAATGATGTCTCCTTGGAAGGCCCCAAATGCCTGAATGAACATCGTCTAAAAGACCCCTCGATCGATGGATAGAAGTACCAAATTTTACCCCGGTCTCCTTGCTCATACAAATATGCTCAAAGGACTTCAATCTGCAGATCAAAGCATTCCTCAACAAACCATACACGACATAACCAATCAAATATCCCAGCATCAACAAACGCCACAGTCTAGTCAAATCTAAAAAATCGTCAGCTCTTTACCAATCACCATGCTCTCAATCAAATAATACAAATTCTTTCTCCTGACGTCCTTCATTACAATAATGGACCCAAATATGACATTCAAACATGCATCCTCCGAGGTCACCCTATAGTCTGCTGCCTTCAAAACTCCAAGTGAAATGATGTTCTTCTTCAACTGAGGAACAAACCTCACTTCATCCAATTTTCGAATCACCCTGTCACACATCCTAATCCGAACGGTACCGATACCACCAATAGGATATTCATGATTATTACCCATGAGCACGACATCCCCTATTTTTACCTCCTGAAAACTGGAGAACCAATCTCTCCTAGGAAAAATATGGTATGAAGCACCTGAATCCAATATCCACTCAGTAGAGTCGACAACACAAACTGACAAATGTGCTGGGCACGAATAGCCCGAAGAATCTTAATCTGAAATGTCGCCACTAGCCTTGGCAACATTCACATCTGAAACTTGAATAGCTTTTCCCTTATTCTTTCCGGCTCGATCTGTCAACTTTAGGCAATCAGATTTTCAATGTTCATCCTCTCTACAAAAAGTACACTGATTCCTACCAACTGCAGGATGTGCCCCTCTTGGCTTCGATTTTGAGTGATTAAATGGACGGTGGTTTGGACTACGACCTCTCACTGTCAATGTATCTCTCGATGCCTTCTCGGAGGGTTCATTATCACTCTTTCTCAACTCATAATTAACCAATGCTGAGGTCACCTCCTTATAACTGACAGTGGTTCTACCATTAATCATTGTAAGGACAAAGGTACCATAATCATCCTCTGACAATGAACATAATAACAACATCGCCTTGTCTTCATCCTCTACCATGATATCCACATTAGTCATATCCGATAGCAATTTTATAAAATTATTAACATGTTCTCTAATGGAAACTCCTCTTTTCATTTTGAATTGGTAAAACATCTTCTTTAAATGAAGCATATTCTTAATGCTCTTCGTCAAATACTTTTCATTGAGTGTTTCCCACAACCGTTTTGCCGATGTTTCATTCATTACATCGTAAATCAAATCCGGCGTCAAACATGATCTAATAACCCCACATGCTCTACTATTTATTTTCTTCCAAACCTTTTTCTCCATATCAGCGGGTTTATCTTGTAATTCAAGAGTCTCTTCTAAATTTTGTGCATTTAATGTATCCATCACTTGACACCTCCACAATCTAAAATTTATCTTGCCATCAAATTTTTAAACATTAATTTTTGTATTATTAATGCTCAATCCTTGTATCGCCTTAGTCAAGGACGATCCCGATGTACTTGCTTCGGTCATTTTCAATCTAATCTCCAAATTATACAACTACAACTTGAATTGTAAAAAGAGCAAAATTAGGGTTTGTACCTCCAAACGAGAATCCGCACCGAATCCTCCAATTGATTTCTCCACCACTCCTTGGAAGATGAAATCCCTTGTAAAAACCCTAGCTTTCTCCTTCAATCCTCCAAATCTAACCCCAAGCCAACCCGGAGCTCTGATACCACTTGTGCGCAGCGGAACCGAAAATCATAACCGAGATAAAAACAAGTACTACAGCAGGCAAGACACCAAATTTACATGGTTCGGCAATATGCTTACGTCCACGGGGCAATGAGGGGATAGATCTCACTAATAGAGAGAGTACAAATAGAGATTACAATCACTCAATAATCTCACAAACAACAAATCACTCTTGATTTCTTTTTCTCTCAATCTCTCTCATAAAATTGCCCAAACTCTAATTGCTCTCTTAATCACTCTTCCTAACTGATCTAAGCTCTGATGGATTTCTCAAGCTCTGATGCATTGAACGAAGGAAGAGGAGAGGGGATTTATAGGCTTCATACCCTCTCATTTGTCAATAAAAAACAGGCAGCGGAACTCTCTTTGTCAACATCGAAAGACCCTGATGTTGTTGACAAAAACAAAGCTTTCCACCGAAAGCTCTTCAGCCTGCCTCCATTTTTGACCTCCCACCAAAAGCTCTTCATCCTTCATTTTCAACAAGAGCGGCTGCCACCCAACAAATTCAACGCTGTAGATTACTGTTTTATCCTCAATTTATTTGTTCTCGTACTTGAAGTCACGGAAGTTCGCTCTCTCTCTCTTATGGTCTGTTTGGATGGAGGGTAAAGAAGGGAGGGCAATGAAAATTTTGGTTTACTTTTGTTTGTGAGTTTCATTTAGAAGGGTAGAGGAGGGGAATGATGGGGAAAATTAAACTAAAATCTTACCTCCCAAATTGGGGGGTAAAGAATGGGAAGGGAAGGAAGGAAAATTTTTTCCTTCATTCCCTTCCCTTAGTCATCTCCCAAACACACTATTATGAAAATGGGTTAGGGAAAAGAAAATTATCATTTGAGGAGAAGGTTTTGGTTTGTTTTATATGGGTTCCGGTTTGAATGCAAACTTTCGAGAAAAATGTATAACTGGTAAGTCAGTCAACAACTTAAGTTTAATGGCATTTAGGGGCTTAGTAGCAACTTTAATGATATGAGGTACAAATTTTAAAATATGAAAGATTTGAAGGGACAAATATCTAAAATCCCCCCCAAAAAAATCAAAATTTTGATTCATTTTCCAATGATTTCTTAAAATTGTTGCAATGGGTAGGAGTCCAGAAGGAGAGGATGGAGCCTGAGGATATGTACGTGCTCTCTGATGCCGGGATCGTGCTTTCTGCCCCCTCAGCGAAGCCGTATCCTAATAAGCTGCCCAAATGTACAGACTGTGCTCCACTGTTCATGAAGGTAGTGAAGCCCAGTAAACTTCAGTTGATACTTTTGAGATATTCTTGAGATATGTAGTGATTGTCAATAAATTGAAGGAAATTTCTTAACGGAAAGAGGGAAGTTGTTTTTGTAGGCTTATCAGATGCGAAATGCTGGAGCTGTGATTCACAGTCATGGGATGGAGTCTTGTCTCGTAACTATGCTTCATCCTTTCGCGAAGGAGTTCAGGGTAAAGTCTTTTTTTCCCCCCTGCCTTTTGATGTTTTTATTATAACGTGTCATGTTCCTTTATATCATCCTAGCCTGATCATGAATTTTTCTGTTTTATTGATGCAGATAACTCACATGGAAATGATAAAAGGAATTCAAGGACATGGTTACTATGATGAACTTGTTGTTCCAATAATTGAAAACACTGCTCTTGAGAGTGAGCTGACAGAAGCCCTCAGCGAAGCGGTAGTTCTTTCTTTCAATTGCACTGCTTGCATAAGATTCTTTCTTGAGTTTGATTGCCAATCCACATTCTTATATTAGAATTTCACAGTCCTTATATTGACACCCTATTGGACATGTTAAGATGATACTTTTCAGTTTTGATATTCCATTTTTTAATCTGACTGCAAATTCATGAACTAGAATAGGTGATGTTCATCTGAGTATGAATGCTCACATTATTTGACGCTATGAAGAACACATCATAATTTCGTAACCACTCAAATTCTTTAAAGCAAACCGCATAAAGGTTGTTTAGTGGTTGAGAAAATCACTTAGCCATCACTTACCAATCACATGCGGTCACTGTTGGCCACTATGTCTTGAAGTTATCTGAGCAAATGATCATGACGTGAAGGTGTAGATGTAAGTAATGAAAGCAAGTTATTAGTTACATAAAGACATTCTGGAAGATTCATTTGGGAAACACTGCCATTATACAATTGATTGAAAAGTCAATTTACAGCTTGAATAGTGCTGTCGTCCCTTTCAGCATGACGCAACACAATTCCTTAAAGAATAGGCAGTGACACTACAACTTTTTGTATATTATAGGGAATACATGCTCATATTGTAGGCATGTCCATGGAAATGTACAATGTCTGTGACAACAAGATAAAGTATTTTTGAAACTTCTTCCTTCTAACTTCACTAATTGCATAGATTCTGTAATATATAAGTGAAATAAAGTGCTTCTAGGATAGTGGATGCTGTTTCTTTCTAATTTTTCTGAATAGGATACATCAAACAAAATGTAAGACACCTAAAGTTGATGGTTACATAATTGGAAAGCTATTCTGAGACTATTATTTGTCCCTTTATATATGATTTACATGGCTTGTAACTGTTTTTTTCCCTTTGATAGTAATTCTAATTGCTAATGGCCGTAGTATTCATGTTTTACAGATTGCAGCATACCCAAAAGCTACAGCTGTGCTTGTACGTAATCATGGCATATATGTATGGGGAGATTCTTGGATCAGTGCCAAGACCCAGGTTTGTTCTTTTGTCAGAGTTTGTTGCAATAAAATTTCCAAGTAACTATGTCATTTTCACGTACTTACCACTCCCGTTTCTTATTTGGTCCATACCTTTGCTTTTATTTCTATGGCCTTTGAGCTTCCGTCTTGGAGTTTGTTGTTTGCTGAATTCAGAATTTGATACTTCTGCAGTATTATGTAGAATATCCCAAAATATTGCGAGCAGATTGATTATGATTTTCTCATAAGTCCAGCTTTAGTTTTTGCGTGCGATACCTGGAGTTATGACATTCAAGGATGTTTTTGATTCTATTTTGACAATATAAGATCACCTGGTCTATATCTTTATTGCTAGGATGTAATATTCTAGTGGGAACTATACTTTTCGTCTAATCTTAGTACTGGTGATGCTCTTACTGTGATATTATCCTAATAGCACTTTACTTTAAAATGTTTTACTCTCTACTTGCTGTTCTCTAATTGACGTAAGTTGCACGACACACCCATTGTTATATGCTAGTTTTTATTATTGCTTTTGCTATAAATTATTTTGTGGAGATGAAGTCACCTGCATTCAAATTCATTCCTAAATCTATTTTTATACATTGGAGGCCCTCTCTCTGGCATTAGCCACTCTATTTTACGCTCTTTATAACCTTGTTGATGTCTTATTATTTCTTTATTCTTTTCTCAAAGATGGTTGCCCTGGCTGTCGTTTGTAATAAATTTGGAATGCTAGATAGCTATTCCCTTTTTTCTGTTGTATGATGAGTAATTTTACTTCTCATTTCTTTTCTAGGCTGAGTGCTACCATTATTTGTTTGATGCTGCCATCAAACTCTACCAGTTAGGTATTGACTGGACCAGTCCAAGTCATGGTCCAATCAACAGTGCTAAAGTACATCAAGGAAGTGAGAGGCATGTAAAAGGTTCTATTACGGCAGCACCTACAAATGGAACTCATGTTGCAGAACCATTACGAGTAAGTTCTTGTCACCTTCCTTTTATGTGCGTGTACTGCAGTCAGATGTTTTTTTATTCTCTCTTTCTTTGTCCTGCATTATCTTCTGAAGATGCAGCCCTTAGTTGCAAGAAATTCTTACATCAGCTAGCTGTATCACCTGGTCTAATTTGAATAATATTACTTGTATTTGAGAAACATGAGCATGATGAGCTTTACCCTCTAATAGATATTTGGCGTATTTCGCAGCAATGCATTGTTCTTGACATTGAAGGAACAACAACTCCAATATCATTTGTTACGGATGTCCTTTTTCCCTATGCCCGTGATAATGTGCGGAGACATTTAATGTCTACATATGACAGCAAGGAAACCAAAGAAGATATTGGGCTATTGCATGCTCAAGTAAGTCCTTGATCTTACTCTTTGTGCTGTTATGTCTTATGGTAGAGTAATATTAAAGTTTTCATGTAATTACTTTATTATTCTACCTGCTCATGTAGTCATGTTGTATGAAGAAGGATGTGAAATTCTGAATAAACACAAAACTCACATCTAACTTGTTTTGTTATTAAAACATTAGCCGATTGTGAAGTTAGAGCTTATTCCATGTGGTAAATTGGTAGTGCATTTTGTGCATGTTTGTCCATGTGATAATACTCGCGCATCTGTGTTGTGCATGGGAAACATGTGCATTCGTGTAAGAGGTTGTTTTTTTTGGGAGTGGGGTGTCGGGGGGTGGTGGGCCCTTCTTTTAAGCACTATGAAAGTCTTCGGGCATAAAAGCTTTAAGTTCCTTCCATTATTACTCTGTTCGTCCAAATTAGTGAGCTCAGTATCTATTTTTATATTCAAATTTTGGTTATGACTTACATGGTTACATTTGAATTTAAATCATATATAGGTTAAAGATGACCTGGAAAAAGGTATTTTAGGGTCTGTACCAATTCCAGCTGATGATGCGGGGAAAGAAAAAGTGATTGATTCTTTGGTAACTAATGTGGAAGCAATGATAAAGGCTGACAGAAAAATTACTGCTCTCAAACAACTGCAGGTAATTAAATCTTTCAAGTGACTAGGTGTAAAAGGTGTATCTATAGCTACCAGAATTGAATTTTTACATTTATTCGCGTTTCGTTTCTATATACAGGGACATATATGGAGAACTGGGTATGAAAATAATGAACTGCAGGGAGTTGTATTTGAGGATGTTCCTGAAGCTCTTCAGAAGTGGCATGCTAAGGGCATCAAGGTAATATCCTCATAATTTCTTCAATTAATTGTTGAGAAGTGCTAGAACTAGTAATATGGACTGCGTAGCTATATTCTTTCGGCAGTAGGCAGCTTCATCCCATCAAATCTTTACAGTAAGAAAAGTATTACTGAAAGTTGCTTTTATTTTTTTGTAACAGTAATACTTGTCTTAGCTGGTTCTCAAAATGAGAAAGAATAATAGATGAGAAAAGGACAGTAGAACGCATAGGCACCAGAAAAACTAGAATTCTTTTCTTACTTAAAATAAAATTCCTTGCAACTGAATAATATCTATTTGTGGTGCTTACTAGATGCTCCATTGGAATTGTTTAGTTTTATAATTTGAGAACAGTTGCACCTCTTACTTGCAGGAGGAAATCAATCTCACCAGAATGACATAGCTATTTCTTTTTGCAACTGATGTCCTTTCTCTTCCTCTTCCTCATCCTCAATCCGGTTAATCATTCATAATTAAAAAAAAATTGCACTTCGATAAATGATAATCCTCTAGTTGTCCACTGTACGCTCTGCATTGAAAGTGTTGGATTCTTGAAGTCGAATAGTAGACTGTAGTGTGTCTAGGATCAGGATGACTGTGGCTTGTTAATTAATTTATCTTGAGGCATCGAAAGAATGTGAACCAACAATACAACTGGAGGATGAAATTTTTGGAAGGTTTATAGTATTTTGTTGTATAAACACGAATAAATACATAGTGTTGAGATACATTTGGTACCAGCCAAATATATGTAAAGTTGTAAACAAAGTTCTAATCCCATATGGATGAATTAGGACACCAGGTGATGGTCAGTTGTATGAGAAAAATAAAGAAAAGGATGTAGACGAATAAATAAAACTCTCTCTTTTGCTTACATTTCAGATAGAAAGTGCTCAAATATTGGCATGCAGGCGTCCATGCTGCACTACTTACTAGACTGCTTTATGATTTCTTTTTTTCTGATTTGTTAATCTTCTGTGGAAAAATGATGATGTTGATTCCAAAACTTTGTTCTTCAGGTTTACATATATTCTAGTGGTAGTAGAGAAGCTCAGAGGCTCATCTTTGGAAATACAGTATTTGGGGATTTGAGAAAATACTTGTGTGGATTTTTCGACACTACTGTGGGGTATGTTTTCATTACTAGTCAGTCTTCTTTTTTCATCGTATTGTTTGTTCAAAATTAATAACAATTTTTCGTCTTCTATAGGAATAAAAGAGAATCGCGCAGTTACTCTGAGATCTCACAATCGGTAGGAGTAGATAAGCCATCTCAAATCCTATTTGTGACGGATGTCTATCAAGAAGCTGTGGCTGCGAAGGCTGCTGGTGAGTTCTCACCTGTGTATTGTCCTGTAAATTTTTTGCGCTCTCCTGAATTTCTGACATTTATATTGCTCAATAGTTCATTATCTCTTTATTTATCCTCAAGTGTTTTTTCATCTATCCGAACTCCCAACTGTCCTACTATAACTGCAAAAATCATGTACTTCCCATATTGGAGACTTCTACAAACAAATGTCAGAAACTATTCCACTGTTATCGGGTGATGTAAATAGGTTTAAGGGGGGAAAGAATCCTAATAAATCTTCCCGCAAACATGTGCAATGAACTATTAGATGTGTAAATACCCGGTACTTTGGTTACAAGTTAGGGTTTAACCATTAGATGTGCAAATACCTGGTACTTTGGTTACAAGTTAGTGGTTAACTTTTAAGTGTCCCCTTTTCACCTACGTTGACGACTCATGATCATTAATAATTGTGCCATTTTATAAGAGAGACTTGTAGGTGAAGAAAGGATTTCGATGAATTCTTTTTTGTTACGGTTTTATGCATGTTTGTGGACTAACAATGCTGTGCCTTTTGTTGGTGATTTGCTGAATGAATATAAATTGTTTAAACTTATATCCAGGTCTTGAAGTGATGATCTCAGTTCGTCCTGGAAATGCACCTCTCCCAGAAAATCATGGTTTCAAGACCATCAAATCCTTTGCAGAAATCTGAGCTACTTGCAAAGTTGCAAAAGATTCCCATGGACTAGTGACTTCCCTGAAGAATGGATGTTTCATGTGTGCAAATGATTGTAATAATTATACTGTACTGTATCATATGAGAGACTTATTCTTCTGTTGGCTATTGTGAATCAAAATAAAATCTCAAGTTTTTGGGCGTCCAAGTATCTGAGGTGGGATATGCTTAAGAATCGGTAGTTATATGTCCCTATTTTAAAAGGCCTCCGCCTATGTTCTAGGCCTAGGTGATACGTTGGCCACCTGCCTAGCGCTTAACGCCTAGATGATACTTAGGCTGCCCATCTTGGTTTTAGAAGCACCTAGTAAAGCATTGTCTGCTTACATAGAGTATATCCTTCAAGTCTTGATCATGATTTTTCTTCTGTTGTAGGCTTCACAACCTCTAAACTCTTCCAGCCTCTAAATTTGAACATGTCTTCTACCTCCTCCGGCCTTCAGTAAAACCACCACCACTTGAACGAAAAAAGAAATCTGCCTAGGTGCTAGTTTTGCATCTAAGCTTTCTATGGCATTTACTATCAATTATATTGCTATTATAAAATAAATTAAAAAAGGAAAATAGCCTAAGCTCCCACCTACGCACCTAAACCACCTAACGCTTTCTTGAAGTAAGATTTCTGTACTCCATTTGTGCAAATGAATTAGAAGTGAGGAAATTTTTTTATTCAACCAATAATGATTATGATGACGAGCCTCGTCATGCTTATAGCGAGGTTCAATCTTGCTTTATTTCTTGGCATTTTTTGGTGTCTACACTTTCAACAATTTCTTCATCTTCTTCCATGATTGGATTTTTTGCTTCCGCTGATAGGTGCGCTCCGCGCACAATGATTGCCACCAAAAAGCTACTTTACCATCAAGTCGGTAGGATACTCACTTAACCTTCTGATCTTCTACAATTTCTAAGTACCCGAAAAATCTCTCCACCCCATCGATCCAATCAAGAAAATCTTCTACATCAAGTTTTCTATTGAAAGATGACCTCATATTTTTAGTATCATAGATATCCCACCTTGAGTATTCTCTATGACCATGATTTCGACGCAGGGCTGCATACTCATTGATATTGCTGTTGAATTCCTCATGCGGCGTCCTATGACATCTTTAGCAACCATCAAAGTGATCTCAAACTCATTCCAGATTCAGATACTCCGTAGCTAACGGAAGTCAGTCTCTATGAGCCTTAATGGGTAACAGGGGCTTTATCGCCTGCAATCAGATCGAAAATAGGGCTCTGATACCAATTAAGGCAGTGCAGAAGTGATAAACCTTAGAGTCCACCAATGGTTGTTTTCTGAATCCAGAAATGACGATCTTTGAATCCAAGAAGAAAATATAATAAAGAGGAAAGTTTATTGATAAAAGTAATCTAATGACTCCAGAGGGATACGACTCTTCTTAAATAAATATAAAAATAAAAATAGACTCCTAATACAACTAGAATCACAAAGAAATAGAAAGTATTAAATTTTACCCTAAAAATACTCCCTATGGTAGAGTAAACAAATCTGTCTAATATGAATTAAAATTGAATTTGTTTCCTAATCTAAGTAGACTCTAATTTATTACTAAAAATAAACTAAATATTAATTATTTTTGATTTTCTGTTAATAACTGGTGATACTGATGAGATTTTAGAAATCTAACAATTCGGTTGGCTTCATCTTGTCGAAATAGGCGATTTGCATATATAATATATCAGAATCCATCTTCTTGATTGGAAGGTATGATCGTTTCTTTCTGGAAATCAATAATATGTATGTATACGCATTTAGCTTGTTATTGTCTCGATCTTCCATGAAATTGTCCGTTAAGCGTCCTACATCACAATTGTACAAGAAAAGGGAAAAAAAAGGACAGATAGATGTAAACGAATAAATAAATTAGCTGCATGTAGCCGTCGACGCTGCACTACTTAATTAGACTGCTATTTATTTCTCATTTCCTGTTTTTTTTTAATCTGCCTTGTGGCAATGCCGATTCATTTACAGAATTAAAGTGGAAACTTTGCTTTACAGGTTTACATGTATTCTAGTGGTAGTAGAGAGAAGCTCGGAGGTTCATCTTTGGGAATACAGCATTTGGTATCTGAGAAAGTATTTGTGCGGATTTTTGTCACTTCTGTTGGGTATATGTTTTCCTTACGAGTTAGCTTTTCATTGGCTAGAGCTGCAATTAAATTAATTTTCTGTGTTATATCAGCTGTCATATTTTACCTGAGACTAGCTAGTTTCTAATTTTCCTTTTTTTTTAATAGGTACGGAAGAGAATCACACTGTTAGGGGCTGTTTGGTTGGGTTGTTTTTGTTTGAAAGTTACTGTAGCTGTCAGGTAGCTGTCAGGTTACAGTAACTTTCACTTGTTTTCATTGTTTGATTATGCAAAAAAAAAAAATGCTAATGTGGCAGTTAAAAATCCAATGCGGCAGTTTCTGACCATATCTCCGCAAAATATGGTGTTTTTGGGCGAAAGTTACTGTAGCTATCAGAGTCAGTTTTCAACCTGGTTTCCTGACTACAGTAACTTTCACCTAGTGAACCAAACGGGCCCTTATTGGAGATCTCGGTTCGTCCTGGAAATGTGCACCCCTCCCTGAAATCCACGGTTTCAAGACCATCAGATAACTTTGCAGAACTCTGAGCTAATTGCAATTGCAAAAAATTCCGATGGACTGTGATAAGACTGTATCGTGTCATTGCTTCTTCCATCAGCTAATTTGAAATAAAATAAATCTCAAAGTTTTTTTGTGCTCCCAAGTATCTGAGAGGTGATGTGGTTAAACACTGATAGTTGTATGGGTAGGAATTCTATGAGAACCCGGCACAATGCAGGGTTCATTGCGCCAAACAGGGCAGCGAAAAGACCAAATTGCCCCTTGTTTGCAAATATGTACTTCGTTCAAAACGTCCTGCACCATGCGAGATGTTATGATAGGATTCCTGCTCTGGCTCTCCGTCCCTTAAACCTAAATTTCTATAGTTCTCATCTCTTCATTGTATCTATTTCAAATTCTCTATACTACATTCTTATAAAAAGTTCAGTAAAGTTGTATACTGCTATGATCCATGAAATAGCAACCACAAGAATGAAACTTTCTAAGAATACGCAGATGAAGTTTTAGATCGTATTTGATGAAATTATCCCACAAGGAAAATTGTCAAAATTTGAGCGAAAATTGCATCCTTATTAGCATTTCACAAGCATCATATATTATAGTAAAAATGCAAGTAAAACTGAGTACTTGATTGAAGTCTCTGCGTATGTTATAGCAAATGTTGTATGACAAAGACCTTACTACACCGTGATAATACATGAATTTATTGATTAGTTTTTTGCTCATTGTGAGAAATTAATAGGAAATTGGCAAAATCCATTTACAATGGATATATAGTGATAAGAAACATAGAGAGCATTTCAATATCCCAATAAACACTTTCCTTCCTCAAGACAAACTGTATTGAAGCTACTGACTTTGCACAACAAGTCGATTTTCTCAATTACCAGATTCTCAGGGATACATTGTATCCATAATATCAAATGCTTATCATTCCTATTTCCTTTTCCCCCTTTCCTCGTCACACGAACTAAACATGTCAAACACATGATACATCATGAACCAATGCAAAATTATCTATGGCCATCAAATCCTATAACAAACAGGTCCACCCATACATCTTTCTCAACCATGTCCAACAGAAAACCAAGAAACCCTTCAAGATTTACCCAAATGTAAAAAACTCGGCTTAACCATATGCAACAGGGATACTTAGAGAAACATGAATCGCTAAGGATAAAAGGTATATATAGATGGCATAACTTAAAGATCGACATTTCCTTCAAGACAAAATATAAGCGAACAGGAAGGCAGGGCACATCCCAGATGTAACACAGTTGCATATGACAGACGGCAACAAGACATTATATGCAAAATTATGCATTACATGAACACCATATAATCACAGTGGTACATATAACATCACATGGAAAATAATTCTTGCACGAACCAGTTATGCCCAACAAGCACAAAAAAATTCTGTATCATACCCAAGCTGTATCATACATATTATGGAGTTAGTATTACATACACAAGCAAGGTGGATGGAACTCAAAAACTGATGGGTTACAAATAAATAGTTCTCCAAAATGAAGCCTGTAACAAATTAAAGATAATAAGCATAACCATTCACAACTTCAGCCAGCCATATCAATATCATTTACGTTGCTATCATTGGTAAGGTTTGACTGAATGGATGCAATCAAATCTCCAAAAAGCAAAGGGGAGTGCCTAGCTGCATGCTGGAACAAAACCTACAAAGCCACCAAAAGAATGAATGCCCTTATTTTCCAAGACTTTCAAGTAACAAGATTAACCTTGAAACAAGTACTCCATTTGAGTGCATAATTTTGTTATTATCGACACAGCTGCTTTTTTATCTTTATTTTAGGATTCCTCTCATCAGTATATCTAATCAAATTAATATTAGATTGTGGATCTTGCAATTTATGGGTCTTATAATCCAAGTCAATGAGTCAGATCAAACAATATAATGCAGCGGAAACACTAAGGCTAATGAATCAGACCAAAGCCCAAGCCTAATGCTATTATGTCAATAGACTTGCATTTTTGGTAAGACGAAGAGATATTATTTCTACATTTAGCAGAGTATTTCACAATGGCAATCAAAATGAACAAATCAAGCATTTTCCTACTAACCTTAGAATAGCTATCTGCAAATGCCCGTGATCGGTTAGGCTTTCCAGTGAATTGCACATCACCAATCTCCATTTTTCCATCAACAAGTCTCACTTCTTCATCTCTAATAGCAAATCGGAGAAGACTACCTGATTGGGCACCTGACTGCATAAATAAACAGTTCAAAATTTCAATAGAAGGGGAATAAAAGCAATAAACGAAAAGTTATAAGAATATGCACTAGATATCCAAAGAAAAGTGCAAGCTGAATTATTATCATTTGCAGCATATGACAAGGCACTCAACCTTCAAAACATTTAAAACTAGGAGACTGAATGAAAAATGTAAGCTCTACGTATCCAGTTACAAAAGGGTACATTTTATACTGAGTCAATTAACTGCATACCTTAAATTCCATAATAAGAGAAATGGGAGGAAAATAATAGAAGTAGCAATTTACTGGACCAATTGATACTTGTTCCTTGAAAACATCATTATAATGGGGAAATGACTGCAAGTATAGTTGTTCGATATGGCAATTACCTTCTGTATAAATTCTCCATCGGTGCAACCAAGCACTACAGGAGGATCATCTGAGGTAGTCAATTTCCCGTCATCTTGCAACTCCAACACAACCTGATTATCATATAAAAGGTAACAAATTTAGACTCTCTTGTCAAAGAAGAGACGCCAACATAATATCATTTTAATGTTAATATGAGAAATGCAAATAGAACCCAACATAAAAACATGCCATTAAGATTATAAAGTATCAAGCACAGAACTTCACATCATAATTACACAACAGCATGAAACAAAACATCATGGTGGACCTTCTTGATAAAAACCAGTACCAAGTTTCAATCATCTGAAATAAAAGATCAGATTTAACTTCGCAAGTCAGAAAAGTTGTCGATTTTTACTTGCTGCTGGGCAGGAACTTGTCCTTTGCTGTCAGTGTCAATAACATATTGACTACAAGATTCATCCTTCCATACTAATGCCAAAGGTGTAATGCCAGTTTGGTAATGTGCATGCCTGAGAAAGAACACGTAACAGAATTAGTTGACCACCAAGGCAGGCACCAACAAAAAAAATATAAATTGTTTAATACAACAATAACAAATACTTCATCCCAATTTTTTTGGGTTGGCTACATTAATCCTATTTTTTCATTCAATTTTACTAAAGGCTATCTCCTCTGCTAAGTAAACCACTACAATGCTTAATTGTTCCAACCAAGTTCTCTGTTCAGAGTCCTCCTTCCTCCATTGATTATAATCTTATCACTTTTATTGATTGGTGCATTAAGTGGATTGTGTTGGGTTGGTAAAATACCAAATTAATAAATTACCTAAAACATTATACTGTCAAGAATCTCCAGTATTCTAGACAAAGGAAATAGGATCATACTTGTTGTAAAACAATAGACCATCTTTAGCATAAGGCACAGCACCTGCATATGCTGTTTGTAAACCCATCTCACTGCAGTCATAAATCGGAACAGCAGCGAATCTGTATTTATGGTACTTAGATGGTGGATTACAAGCTCCAGTCTCCCCGAGCTTGGAATTTAACCAAAAGAATCTGAACTCCGCACTGCAATCATACAATGAGTACCCGCGCCAACACAGCATATCAATCACATAGTATGTCTGATCGAGCTGCAAGAAAATAGATTGTACCTGAGATTCATGATAACATCTTATTGCAAAGGTTTTTTTCGATATCAGTCCCCCAAATCTTTCAGATTTGGGAATTAATACCCAAATATTCATATTTTGAAAATATTCCCCGAAATCATCATATTTTGAAATTAGTCCCACAAAATTTTCTAAGTGCTTTGGAATTAATCCCCAAATTAATTAAAATTTTAAAGGGCATTTCATTTTCATCCCAAATCAAACAACTGCTAACTAGGGGACTAATTTCAAGATAGTTATAAGATTTGAGGGACTATAACCCTAGTGTAAAATTTAAAATTTACCTCATGAAATATACAGTCCAAAATGCAATAGGCATGTGCTGGACCTGACATCTCTCTCGTTTTGGCACCACACGGCAAAGAAGATGGAAACCGGTGCAAAATAGATCCATTCCGGAGTCGACTTACTGTTGTGCCATTAGAAGAAACAACAAAACACCGTTTTCCAGATGGCCGTGAAAAGACATACCTACAAAATTTCCAGATCGAATGAAACAGTGTTTTCTAGGACTTCATACAATATTATATAAGAGCATTTTAGTAACTAGAAAAAACTCCTATAAACAATGAGAAGCACATAAAAGGATAAAAGGATGAATAGCCTCTAATTTACGAACAGTTTCTCTATGATTATTGGTAGAACAAAAAGGGATGAGATTAAAAGAAAAACAACTAACCGTTTTCATTTATACTAATATAAAGTTAGGAAAAAGGGATGAGATTAAAAGAAAAACAACTAACCGTTTTCATTTATACTAATATAAAGTTAGGAGATAAGTTCCATCAGTATATCCCAATAACTGAAAGTAACCGTTTTCATTTATACTAATATAAAGTTAGGAGATAAGTTCCATCAGTATATCCCAATAACTGAAAGTAATTTCTTGGAATGTTCATTAAAACACTAGAACCAAACAACCAAAAATATTGGGATTTGTCGGGCTAACAGGTGAAAGTGAGACAAATCGGAAGAAATAAAATGCTAGTGACACTACCTAAAACCCAACACACACAAAAGTAAGTCGCAGGGACTCCATGTGTTCCCCGAGGATTACAAAAATCACAAGTTTGGCAGACTCTCGGTTTGCACAGTTAGTCTCTCACCCAGTAGATTATGTAGTGCAGTTCAAACATTAAGCACCAAGCTTAAATTCTACAGTCCAGATAAGAAAAAGGAGGATTTATGTAAAAAGATAGAAGGAGGTTACCCATGTACCACTAAACTTTCAATCTATTAACTCTAATTACTTGTAATTTACAATTCTTCATAATTTTTAGTGTATAACCATTCAGTAATTTACAATTCCTCATAAAACCTCACGTATAACCACTTCACTACTGTAAATATGCCCAAAGACTGCCCAAAGTTTCACATCTTTAACTTTAGTACCCTGAAGTTCTATTTCGACAATTTGATACCTCAAAGTTTTCAAACGATATTGATACTATGCCCTAACTTTATTCCTCATTTACAAAGCTTTAAAAATAAATTTGGTAGGAAAATTGCTTCTCATTCAGCCTTTTCTTTTGATATACTTGAACAAAATTAACATGAACTCTTTTGCAATTCAGGGTATCAAATCGCGAAAAATAGAACTTCAGCTCATCAAAGGTAAAAGGGCAAAACTTTGGTGACATTACAGTGCAAATAACCCAAAATTGGTGAGCTTTTTTACGATTTACCGTCGAAAAACTGAATGTGCACAGTTAAGGGCTCATTTGCTCCAATTTAAAGCCAAAGTACCAATTTTAAAAGAATCAACAGAGTGAAAAATCAATTTTTTCCCTTTTTTGAAAGAACAAGGCTTTTATAGAAACTCACCAATCAGAATCAAGGTTAGGAGGAACATCAATCATCCACTCCGGCAACATGAGCTGCCTCGCAAACCACCGGCGAGCCTCCGCGCCCTTCAACTTCGACGCCTCGACGACATCAAGCTCCCCCTTATCGGCTTTCGGATCCGATTCCAGCCAAGCCTCGTTCTCAGTTTCCAACTCAATATCGGGTTCGGATTCGGGCTGGGGTTCGGGTTGGAGGGAGACGACGGAGGAAGCGAGACGGCGAGCGCGGTTCTGGGAGTCGGAGCGCTGCTGGTTCTGGCGGCGGAGGGCTATTTCTCGCCGGCGTTGCTGGTCGGAGATCGCCGGGCGCTTGAATGGGCGGCGGAGGTCGTGAGGCGCCATGATCGAGAGTTTCCGTTGATCGTAACGTAGTAGGACGGTGGTTTTTTGGACGACAAGGGTTTGCTTTGAGGTTTAATAGGAGATTGAATCCGAGGCCAGTTCGGGTTTGGATCCGATAAGGAGACAAGAGGTACTTGCTATTTTTGCCTGGCGTTTTTTTTCGATACTGGTCCCTCATTAAATCTTATTAGTTGGAATTAGGTCTCGAACTAGGGATGGTCATCTGACGTATCGGCTCTCTATCCCCATGATGCACTGTTCTCCGATCTGTCTCATGACCTGTACCATATAGGGTCTCATGTTTTTGGGTCCCTAATGCATTTTTCCTCGAACTAGTGGCTATGGAGAATGAAACCCAAAATAACGTGAGCTATATTAGAATCTCTCAACCATCTAGGGTCATTAACGATGCTCAGTTAGTGATTATATTAATTAGTCTAATTTTTTTAATAAAGAAAACTAATAATGTATTAACATTTTAAAAAAAGAATCAGCTTTTAATATAGGGAAAATCCTCTTTTAACCCAAAGTTTTACCCCAACTTATTTAAAAACCCATTCACTTTTCAAAACATCAATAGACCCACAAAATCACATCCCACTTATTTTTAAACCCAAATGTACAATACACCCATTATTTGTACTGTATTTATCCAAAAAATTTGAAAAATCCTAAACTACCCTTCATCCCCAACTGATCTCTCCCTCTCCCCTCCTCCTCCATCTGAGCTCAGAAGAGATCTCTCCCTCTCCCCTCCTCCTCCTCTTCCCTCCCTTCACTTCCCCTCAACCACTACCACCAACCTCCTCCTCTTCCCTCCCTTCACTTCCCCTCCTCCCTCAAGCCCATCAACCTCTAAAGTATAGCACCTTATTGCAAAGTATAGCACCTTATGGCCAAAGTATAGCACCTTATTGCAAAGTATAGCACCTTATGGCCAAAGTATAGCACCTTATTTGCAAAGTATAGCACCTTACGCTCTCTGGAAATTCTGAGCTCCGAGTCGTCGCGACCATTTCAGTTTTTTTCCGCGCGACGAGAACACTCGGCGACCGACGCGTCGTCGTAATAGGCCGATCATCCTCCGCGTCGGCCGGTCCTCGCCTAATTTCGAAGCTTCAGGCAAAGTATAGCACCTTATTGCAAAGTATAGCACCTTATGGCCAAAGTATAGCACCTTATTGCAAAGTATAGCACCTTATGGCCAAAGTATAGCACCTTATTTGCAAAGTATAGCACCTTACGCTCTCTGGAAATTCTGAGCTCCGAGTCGTCGCGACCATTTCAGTTTTTTTCCGCGCGACGAGAACACTCGGCGACCGACGCGTCGTCGTAATAGGCCGATCATCCGCCGCGTCGGCCGGTCCTCGACCAATTTCGAAGCTTCAGTCAAAGTATAGCACCTTATTGCAAAGTATAGCACCTTATGGTCAAAGTATAGCACCTTATTGCAAAGTATAGCACCTTATGGTCAAAGTATAGCACCTTATTGCAAAGTATAGCACCTTATGGCCAAAGTATAGCACCTTATTGCAAAGTATAGCACCTTATGGCCAAAGTATAGCACCTTATTGCAAAGTATAGCACCTTATGGCCAAAGTATAGCACCTTATTTGCAAAGTATAGCACCTTACGCTCTCTGGAAATTCTGAGCTCCGAGTCGTCGCGACCATTTCAGTTTTTTTCCGCGCGACGAGAACACTCGGCGACCGACGCGTCGTCGTAATAGGCCGATCATCCGCCGCGTCGGCCGGTCCTCGCCCAATTTCGAAGCTTCAGGCAAAGTATAGCACCTTATTGCAAAGTATAGCACCTTATGGCCAAAGTATAGCACCTTGTTGCAAAGTATAGCACCTTATGGCAAAAGTATAGCACTTTATGGGCAAAGTATAGCACCTTACGCTCTCTGGAAATTCTGAGCTCCGAGTCGTCCAGAACCATTTCAGTTTTTTTCCCGCGGCGAGAACACTCGGCGACCGACGCGTCGTCGTAATAGGCCGATCATCCGCCGCGTCGGCCGGTCCTCGCCTAATTTCGAAGCTTCAGGCAAAGTATAGCACCTTATTGCAAAGTATAGCACCTTATGGCCAAAGTATAGCACCTTATTGCAAAGTATAGCACCTTATGGCCAAAGTATAGCACCTTATTTGCAAAGTATAGCACCTTACGCTCTCTGGAAATTCTGAGCTCCGAGTCGTCGCGACCATTTCAGTTTTTTTCCGCGCGACGAGAACACTCGGCGACCGACGCGTCGTCGTAATAGGCCGATCATCCGCCGCGTCGGCCGGTCCTCGCCCAATTTCGAAGCTTCAGGCAAAGTATAGCACCTTATTGCAAAGTATAGCACCTTATGGCCAAAGTATAGCACCTTATTGCAAAGTATAGCACCTTATGGCCAAAGTATAGCACCTTATTGCAAAGTATAGCACCTTATGGCCAAAGTATAGCACCTTACGCTCTCTGGAAATTCTGAGCTCCGAGTCGTCGCGACCATTTCAGTTTTTTTCCGCGCGACGAGAACACTCGGCGACCGACGCGTCGTCGTAATAGGCCGATCATCCGCCGCGTCGGCCGGTCCTCGCCTAATTTCGAAGCTTCAGGCAAAGTATAGCACCTTATTGCAAAGTATAGCACCTTATGGCCAAAGTATAGCACCTTATTGCAAAGTATAGCACCTTATGGCCAAAGTATAGCACCTTATTTGCAAAGTATAGCACCTTACGCTCTCTGGAAATTCTGAGCTCCGAGTCGTCGCGACCATTTCAGTTTTTTTCCGCGCGACGAGAACACTCGGCGACCGACGCGTCGTCGTAATAGGCCGATCATCCGCCGCGTCGGCCGGTCCTCGCCCAATTTCGAAGCTTCAGGCAAAGTATAGCACCTTATTGCAAAGTATAGCACCTTATGGCCAAAGTATAGCACCTTATTGCAAAGTATAGCACCTTATGGCCAAAGTATAGCACCTTATTGCAAAGTATAGCACCTTATGGCCAAAGTATAGCACCTTACGCTCTCTGGAAATTCTGAGCTCCGAGTCGTCGCGACCATTTCAGTTTTTTTCCGCGCGACGAGAACACTCGGCGACCGACGCGTCGTCGTAATAGGCCGATCATCCTCCGCGTCGGCCGGTCCTCGCCTAATTTCGAAGCTTCAGGCAAAGTATAGCACCTTATTGCAAAGTATAGCACCTTATGGCCAAAGTATAGCACCTTGTTGCAAAGTATAGCACCTTATGGCCAAAGTATAGCACCTTGTTGCAAAGTATAGCACCTTATGGCCAAAGTATAGCACCTTATTTGCAAAGTATAGCACCTTACGCTCTCTGGAAATTCTGAGCTCCGAGTCGTCCAGAACCATTTCAGTTTTTTTCCCGCGGCGAGAACACTCGGCGACCGACGCGTCGTCGTAATAGGCCGATCATCCGCCGCGTCGGCCGGTCCTCGCCCAATTTCGAAGCTTCAGGCAAAGTATAGCACCTTATTGCAAAGTATAGCACCTTATGGTCAAAGTATAGCACCTTATTGCAAAGTATAGCACCTTATGGCCAAAGTATAGCACCTTATTGCAAAGTATAGCACCTTATGGCCAAAGTATAGCACCTTGTTGCAAAGTATAGCACCTTATGGCAAAAGTATAGCACTTTATGGGCAAAGTATAGCACCTTACGCTCTCTGGAAATTCTGAGCTCCGAGTCGTCGCGACCATTTCAGTTTTTTTCCGCGCGACGAGAACACTCGGCGACCGACGCGTCGTCGTAATAGGCCGATCATCCGCCGCGTCGGCCGGTCCTCGACCAATTTCGAAGCTTCAGTCAAAGTATAGCACCTTATTGCAAAGTATAGCACCTTATGGCCAAAGTATAGCACCTTATGGCCAAAGTATAGCACCTTACGCTCTCTGGAAATTCTGAGCTCCGAGTCGTCCAGAACCATTTCAGTTTTTTTCGCGCGACGAGAACACTCGGCGACCGACGCGTCGTCGTAATAGGCCGATCATCCGCCGCGTTGGCCGGTCCTCGCCCAATTTCGAAGCTTCAGGCAAAGTATAGCACCTTATTGCAAAGTATAGCACCTTATGGCCAAAGTATAGCACTTATGGCAAAAGTATAGCACCTTATGGCCAAAGTATAGCACCTTACTCTCTCTGGAAATTCTGAGCTCCGAGTCGTCGCGACCATTTCAGTTTTTTTCCGCGCGACGAGAACACTCGGCGACCGACGCGTCGTCGTAATAGGCCGATCATCCGCCGCGTCGGCCGGTCCTCGCCCAATTTCGAAGCTTCAGGCAAAGTATAGCACCTTATTGCAAAGTATAGCACCTTATGGCCAAAGTATAGCACCTTATTGCAAAGTATAGCACCTTATGGCCAAAGTATAGCACCTTATTTGCAAAGTATAGCACCTTACGCTCTCTGGAAATTCTGAGCTCCGAGTCGTCGCGAACCATTTCAGTTTTTTCCCCGCGGCGAGAACACTCGGCGACCGACGCGTCGTCGTAATAGGCCGATCATCCGCCGCGTCGGCCGGTCCTCGCCCAATTTCGAAGCTTCAGGCAAAGTATAGCACCTTATTGCAAAGTATAGCACCTTATGGCCAAAGTATAGCACCTTATTTGCAAAGTATAGCACCTTACGCTCTCTGGAAATTCTGAGCTCCGAGTCGTCGCGACCATTTCAGTTTTTTTCCGCGCGACGAGAACACTCGGCGACCGACGCGTCGTCGTAATAGGCCGATCATCCGCCGCGTCGGCCGGTCCTCGCCCAATTTCGAAGCCTCAGGCAAAGTATAGCACCTTATTGCAAAGTATAGCACCTTATGGCCAAAGTATAAAACCTTATTGCAAAGTATAGCACCTTATGGCCAAAGTATAGCACCTTATGGACAAAGTATAGCACCTTACGTTCTCTGGAAATTCTGAGCTCCGAGTCGTCGCGAACCATTTCAGTTTTTTTCCCCGCGGCGAGAACACTCGGCGACCGACCGACGGTGCTATACTTTGGCCCGTCGTCGTAACATTATTTGAGCTCCGACCCGTCGTCGTAACATTATCTGAGTTCAGAATTTCCAGAGAGCGTAAGGTGCTATACTTTGGCCATACGGTGCTATACTTTAGCCATAAGGTGCTATAATTTGCAATAAGGTGCTATACTGTGGCCATAAGGTGCTATACTTTGCAATAAGGTGCTATACTTTGCCTGAAGCTTTGAAATTGGGCGAGGACCGGCCGACGCGACGGATGATCGGCCTATTACATCGACGGGTCGGTCGCCGAGTGTTCTCGCCGCGGGGAAAAAAACTGAAATGGTTCGCGACGACTCGGAGCTCAGAATTTCCAGAGAGCGTAAGGTGCTATACTTTGGTCATAAGGTGCTATACTTTGGCCATAAGGTGCTATACTTTGCAATAAGGTGCTATACTTTGGCCATAAGGTGCTATACTTTGCAATAAGGTGCTATACTTTGCCTGAAGCTTCGAAATTGGGCGAGGACCGGCCGACGCGGCGGATGATCGGCCTATTACGACGACGCGTCGGTCGCCGAGTGTTCTCGCCGCGGGGAAAAAAACTGAAATGGTTCTGGACGACTCGGAGCTCAGAATTTCCAGAGAGCGTAAGGTGCTATACTTTGGCCATAAGGTGCTATACTTTGCAACAAGGTGCTATACTTTGGCCATAAGGTGCTATACTTTGCAACAAGGTGCTATACTTTGGCCATAAGGTGCTATACTTTGCAATAAGGTGCTATACTTTGCCTGAAGCTTCGAAATTAGGCGAGGACCGGCCGACGCGGAGGATGATCGGCCTATTACGACGACGCGTCGGTCGCCGAGTGTTCTCGTCGCGCGGAAAAAAACTAAAATGGTCGCGACGACTCGGAGCTCAGAAATTTTGATGGTGCTAGCTTCAAAATTGCGCGAGGACCCCCCGTCACGGTGGATGATTGGTCAATAAACACGTCACGTAGGTCGTCGAGTGTTTGCATTGCCCTAAAAAAACTGATTTGACTTATCACAATAAGTTGCTGAATTTCCAGCGACCAAAAGGTGCTATATTTTATCGATAAGGTGCTATACTATTGCCATAAGGTGCTATACTTTATAATAAGGTGCTATACTTTATCAATAAGCTGCTATACTTTCCCATAAAGTGCTATACTTTATCAAAATCTAAAAATTGAGCGAGTACCCCTCGTCGAGGTGGATAATTGGTCACGCGACACATAATATTGCCCAATAGGCTGTAGTTAACACAACCTACCATCAAAATTTCTTCAGTTCAATCAGTGCATCAGTTCATTACAGATATTCATATCTATCAACCACTAAACTCAAGCGCATAACATTGAATGAAAATAATCCATGAAGATTGAATGGAAATAATCCAAAATCACCACTATCGAAACGTTGTATACATTTCTACTAGATACATTTCTACTAGTTACACTGATAAATTTGATACAACATGATACATTGGATAGTGCATTTGATACAATATGCACACAAATCATCTATATATACATAATATAGAAAATTTCATACAACACGATACATTGGATACTACTTGGTACATCATATTGCAGGCTGTAGTTGATTTGCCGTTTGGGTTGCAATGTGACAGCAATGCGAAGATCTGATCGAATGCCAATAGTGGGGGATTCTCTCATGTATTTGATTGGAAAGTTAGTGTGCATTGACGAATGGTTTCTGATTGAGGGGTAGCTGTGCGTTACGTTAGGTGTGCCATTGATGATGGAATATATGTATCCCACCATAAAAATGTTACAATCTACGCTCCTGCACAAATAAATGTCACAATCAATGATTGCATGATAAGAAAATTTTATTAACTGTCAATTCTAACTTATCGTGCATTTCCAAAGCAAAATACATGAAAGTAATATCGAGAAATGCTAGCATAAGAGGCTTCATACCACTTTCAAAGGAATCATCTATAAGCTTTTATGCAATATCAATTCTAACTTATCGTGCATTTCCAAATCAAAATACATGAAAGTAATATCGATTTTGATGTCGTAATGCTTCGAATTATCAAAACCCACAAGAACAATAAGAATCTGAAGGACCACCAAGCAATAAGAAAATTAGAATTTTTATGTTACAACTCGTCACCATTCCCAACACCAACAAGTAAGAATAATCACCTAGTAACTTTGTACGCTTGCAAAAAGAGGGAGGATTTTCACATCAATCACCAACTCTAAGGAAAATTCTATTCATAAATGCAAGCAAGAACTATAGTTCTAATTTTAAAACATAATGTCCAGAGAGGAACCATAGTTATGTAAGTCATGGTTGATATCTCATGAATGTACATATCTTATGAGCAATTGAGCATCAAGTAAAGGTTACCTTCACTTTTTCCAATAGCTTTTTGGCATCAGCGTAAATTCAACAAACAGTTGGAATTTGAGTACATATCTTTTGAGGTTGCCAGGCAGTTGGAATTTGAGTAACCAACAATCATCAAAATCAAAATCAAAATCAAAGTTCGAATAGCTTTTTGGCATCAGCGTACATATCTTTTGAGGTTGCCAGGCAGTTGGAATTTGAGTAACCAACAATCATCAAAATCAAAATCAAATAAGAGAGACAAGCTGACAACTTGCAGTGTTGGGAGCTGTCAGGAAATGTGAAATTGAGAGTTTCGAGAAGGAAGCTTCTGAGATGAACAAGAGGTCATTCAAGTATGCATGGGTTCTTGACAAGCTCAAGGCCGAGAGGGAAAGATTACAAAGCCAGGCGGTCTTCGACCTCCGCCATTACTCCGAGTGCTCCTCAAGCTCCGTCCACTGGCGGCAATGACAAGTGCTTCAGGTTGATGGGCGAACTACAGGGAGTCAATGTCGAAATCATTGGTGGGCTATTCATCTACTTCAAGGTCGACGGTGGTGGGTGACGTGGCGGCGAGGGGAGATAGGGGCAGTGGATGCAGAGGTTGATGGGCTTGAGGGAGGAGGGGAAGTGAAGGGAGGGAAGAGGAGGAGGTTGGTGGTAGTGGTTGAGGGGAAGTGAAGGGAGGGAAGAGGAGGAGGAGGGGAGAGGGAGAGATCTCTTCTGAGCTCAGATGGAGGAGGAGGGGAGAGGGAGAGATCAGTTGGGGATGAAGGGTAGTTTAGGATTTTTCAAAGTTATTGGATAAATACAGTATAAATAATGGGTGTATTGTACATTTGGGTTTAAAAATAAGTGGGATGTGATTTTGTGGGTCTATTGATGTTTTGAAAAGTGAATGGGTTTTTAAATAAGTTGGGGTAAAACTTTGGGTTAAAAGAGGATTTTCCCTTTAATATATCAATGTTCTCAAGAGAAATAGATTCCAAGCGCTAAATGTGCAAACCATATGCAACTTGATTCGCCTCACACCTAACACGAGGAATACTGTACCGAGAGAACCTATCAAGAGAATCCAAAATATCAGTAAATACTCCACCGAGTTCACTTGGTAGGTGTGATCCGTTGGACATAGATCAGATTTTTTTTTTCTACTTGACTTGAACCAAAAACAATAAGCATTTCTTGGGTAATCAAATTATATATAATGCAATATGCACACCACCGAGACCAGCTGTTGAGAATTCACTTTAATTTCTAAAGGAAAAAAATCCAGCTCGTCGTGCAAGTTCTAGGCTCGATTGGTAACTTAGGTTGGATTAGTTATTAACCACTTCTCCCTCCCCCAAACCCCCAAAAGTTTAAGCAACACGTATTTTAAACAGGTTTGGGAACTCAAATATGGACCTGTAAACTAGTTTGAAAAATGATTTGGATTCGGAGCAACTTAATCAATGGAGTGTAACTGAACGCGTGAAAATTTAAGTGGCATATTCCTTCCAAATCAAACGATAGCTCAACTATATAGAATAATTGAAAATAATAGTAAAATTTTGAGGAACTAAAAAGTAATTTTTAGTGATAGTTATAGACTGGGATCCTTGTGATTCCTTCCTTTTTTCCTTAAAAAAAAAACTAAATAGTAATTTTTTTTATGAATTGAGGAACTGATAGTTAAAGTATTAAAGAAGCAATATCTGGAACCAAAAACCCAATAATTTGCATACATATACCAGTGCATACGGTCCAACTACGACTCGGATAACATGTTTATCATATCCGCATTCGGTTATCCATCACCGATACAATTATGTCTCCGTAAAAGATTTTTTATAGCTACATACACTAAAATCAGATACACAGTTACGACTATATAAACAAATATACATGCATATACAAAATGAATATGAGAAACTAGATAATATTAAAAAAAAATATACAGTTCATATGATGCAAGAGAGTTCGTTAATACGTACGTTATATCGGAAAAACTAAGATTAGATATCTTGATCATCGAAATAAGTCTTGAATCCGTTAATCTAAGGATTAACACGACTAATCAATATTCCAATACAAATTGGAATTTTACACTACATAACCATATTCGTAATCGTATCTTATTAATTATTATGGTTTTTAACATACTTTGGGCACAGCACACTCGTGCATGACAAGGGAAGTGACGTGGCATCTCTGGCATTGGATCAGATTCAAACCNCATATCAACCCCCCCCCCCCCCCCGCCAAAAAAAAAAGCTCCTCCTCCAATGTCCAAAACACCCTTCGGCCTCTCCCACCTGGCCGACCGCTGCACCTCCCTCCGGCAGCTCTCCCAAGTCCACGCCCAAATGCTCGTCACCGCCCGCATCCCCTCCGACAACTACGCCGCCTCCCGCCTCCTCTCCTTCTACGCCACCAACGGCCACCTCCCCCTCGCCCTCTCCCTCTTCTCCCTCACTCCCTCCCCCAACTCCTTCTTCTTCAACACCCTCATCCGCGCTTCCTCCTCCTCCGCCTCCTCCGCCTTCGCTCTCTACTCTCGCATGCTCCGCTCAGCTGTCTCGCCCGGCAAGCACACCTTCCCCTTCCTCCTCAAAGCCTCCGCTAATCTTGGTTCCCCAAGCTTATCCAAACAGATTCACGATCATGTCATCAAGTATGGGTTGGAATTGGATCGATATGTTACCAATGGGTTGACGCACTCCTACGCTTGTTCTGGGATGGTTGTTGACGCACGTAAGGTGTTTGATGGAACGACGGAGCGGAACTCGATGATTTGGACCACGATGGTTAGCGGGTATGCTAGGAACGGGCTCGCCGACGAGGCGATTGGGTTGTTTGAGGAGATGGTGGGGTTGGGGGTGGAGCTGTGCGGGGCCACCATGGCGTCCGTGCTGTCAGCATGTGCAAGGTCCGGAGGGTTAGAGACGGGGAGGAGGGTGCACGGGATTGTTAAGGAGAAGGGGGTTGAGGTTGGGGTGATACTGGGGACGGCGCTCGTGGATATGTACGCGAAGAATGGGGCGATTTTTGAGGCGAGGGAGGTGTTTGTAGGAATGCCCGAGAGAAATGTGGCTACGTGGAATGCAATGATTTGTGGGTTGGCTCATCATGGGCATTCCGAAGGAGCGGTGTGTCTGTTTCGGGAGTTGGAGAGGCTGGTAAAGTCGACAAGGCGAAGTGTGTCCGAATGACATAACGTTCACGGGAATTCTGACCGCGTGCTGCCATGCCGGATGGGTTGAATTGGGGCGGGAGATATTTTTCTCTATGCAAGAGAGCTATGGGGTTGAACCGAAAGTGGAGCATTATGGTTGCATGGTTGATCTTTTAGGGAGGAGCGGGAGGTTGGAGGAGGCTGAGGAATTGGTGAGAGGGATGAAGTGGGAGGCCGATATTGTGGTTTGGGGAGCTTTGTTGACGGCTTGTCGGAGTTTTGGGAGGATAGAGATTGCGGAGAGGGTGGTGCAGGAGATGCTGAGGCTGGATCCGGAGAATCACAGTGTTTATGTCGTTTTGTCGAATATGTATGCAGAGGTTGGCAGATGGGAGGATGTCACGAGGTTCAGGGGCATTATGAAGGACGATGGGTTCAAGAAGATTCCAGGTTGGAGTTCAGTTGATGGCCATGGTTGACAGGAGTGCACGGGTGCATTTAGGATCCAGTGATAGGGACTCAGAGTGGTACACTATAACCGCTATCGAAGAATTTCATTATGTTAAATAATTGAGACATATTGATGATTGAATGCTTTACATATAGCAAAATATGTAACGTTTTGAAGCCTGAGTTCTGCATACAGGGCCCTCAACATTAGGTGGGGAAAAAAAACTGGAAACTGATGAAGATCATTTGAAGGGAACTATTGATCTAACGACACTCAAGGTCAGTTCACTTAATTTTCAGGATTTCTAGGACAAAGAGAACAGTTCAAATCTGGCAGTTTGGGTGGTTCAGCTGATAAATGATATTAAAACAATAGAAACTGTTGAAGATCATTTGAAAGGAGTAGTTGATCCAGTGGCATTCAAACAAAGAAAACTCAAATTATTTCAAAGAAATTTGAGGACAGTGAGATCATGGAAAAAGAGGACGTTCTATATGTCTGCCCGGGTGATTTCGCTGAGGTATGCTATTGAATCTATGTTTGATAGAGAGAAGATGCAGAAGATAAATTTTAAACCGTGCGCTGTTCTTTGCATTAGCAATATATATGCCGTATTCTTCGTTGTGATTTCGGCTTGGAGAGTTCATTTGCTGGGATTGTCCAATTTGTCAACTATTCGACATATATCTATGACTGCAGAGAGTTCAAACCTGAAGTATAAACTGAAACATTTTCAATTGCTGTATTTATAATTTTTTGTTAAATTCTTTCGAACGAAGTTTTTATTTGTTGCATGATAAGTGTGAAGTTCACGTAAGTTTGAATCAGCACTCTAGTGCAATTTGACTGATGTTGTGATATTAATATTACGGGCTTTAAAATTGTATGTTTTTGCCTCTTGAGTCCGTCACTTGAAACTTATTTGCAGAAACTCATAGAAGTGTGAGTATGCAGTGTTAGAACTAATATAAAACTATAATTTTTTATCATCACCATAACTTCGGAGTTTTGGTGTAATGGTTAGAAGAGCTAAATTTAAGTTGCTATCAGAGCAACCCAGGTTCAAATCCCACCGGCCGCAAATTAAATGCGGATTTTCTAAAAATTGACATCGCTACGTAACTTCGGACTTTTGGTCTGATTGTTAGAGGAACTAAATTTAAGATACAGAAAGGTCCCAAGAGAAAATAATAGATGTAAGATTATCCCTATTAAAAGCTATGTTATCAACATAAACTAACTCAATATAAAGTGTCAGTGTTGCGTGCAACAATGTGTTTTTCTTATTAATACATACGATTGGTTTAAATTAGCAAGTTTTAGAGCAGAAAAATGACACCCAAATAATTGACGTGATGTTTGCTTCATAGCATAAATAGGCTTTTATGGTTCACAAACTATATTTTCTCCGAATTTAATTCTAAGCCACTAAAAGAATAGCGAAGGAGCGAAAGAGAGGGAGAGAAAAGGAGAGAGCCAATTATTTTTATTTTTATTTTTTAGAGAAAAATTTATGGATTTTTTTATTGATAATGAAGGGGGAAAAGAGTACGAAGAAGAAGAGGAGAAAAAAAAAACAATTTTTGTTGTCATTACGTTATAATTCTAACATAATCTTAGTAGCACAATTTTGGGGTCTAAATGTATAAATTAAAAATAATTATCAAGTAAAGGCTCAAAAGCACCAGTTATAAATGGGTAATCAGTAGCGAACCCGACCCGAAACCCGTTATTAATTAGACTCCGACCAGAATTAGGATTAAAAACAGATTAAATGCGAGGCTCTCGTAATCCAGCGAGCTCCCATCTCGCTTCTCGCCCTTTTGGACACAGAAAAAGTTCGTTTCTTTAGTTTTTTTTCGAAATTATTTCTGTGTAAAATCTGGCGCTGATCACTTGCAATCGTCTTTTCATCGATTGATCTCTCCATCAGGTTCAATTTTCTGTATTTTTGGTATTTTTTTATGTTCGGTTTTATCCTGAATTCGTCAAATTTGGGAACTAGATCTCATCTTCAATTGCCCTTTTGCTATTGTAACTACGAATCAATAACCCTATATTTTGTGATGTTTGATGTCGTTTATGTTAATTCTCTCGTATATATGATGCCTACAAGTTTCTTTATGATGCCCTAGATCTGGATGGTTTTTTGGCTTTTTTTATGTGCAAGATCGATGATTTATGTGGTTTAGAGGTAGAATTGGATATCGCTGATGAATTCGGGGTGCCGATCTGTTAATTATTGCGAATTAGGATTTTTTTCCCTTCCTGAGATCTTCAATCGTTTCTCTGAAAAAAAGCCAAGAAAAAAGGAAAAAAAGAAAAAAGAACTAAGAAGAAGAAGAAGAAAAATAAAAGAATAGAATAAGATTTTACGTTTGGCTACGTTGATTGATTGGGTAGTCTGGGTTGGATTGTTGTTATCAATGTGAAGTTTAGGGATTTTGTGTTTTCCTGAGTATTTTATTTCCATTTTTTAATAATTAAAACATCAATTTTGGGTTTTTCTGTAGAGGTCATTTTATTTTTTAGTAATTTTGCTTCGTTATGTGATTTGCATTAATTGCTAATAATATTTTCATTTCTAAGAAGTCTACATTGTTCTTTTTGGCATTTTAGATGTTCTCAACTTATAATATGTCATTTTTTCTTTCAACTCTAGGTTCCTCTGGGGGTAAATATCTTTGTGTGATCATTTAATGTTGTGAATTTCTTGAAGATCATAGGAGAGGAATGCCTAGCCATTATAGAGCGGTAAGATGTTAACTTGTTTTATCTACTTCAGTCAATACTTAGCGAATATTACAAGTTATTGAATATTTTTATTATCTTTTAATGGTTTTCATCAGAGAGAAGAAGATGAGTATGAACGGGAAGATTACGATGGGTATGAAGACTATGCTTCTGAGGAGCAGGAGGAGGAGGAAGATGAAGAAAAGGAGGAACCACCGAGCCAAGAACAACAGGAATTTCTAAAATTGAGGGAGGAGCTCAAAGAAAGGTTCAGGAAGAAGCTGAAGAATGAAACTGCTGGTTTGGGACATCGAAGTCAGTCGAAAGACAAGAGGAGGACAACACCAAATGATAAGTGAGTGGTGAATTTGTTTACTTTGTTAGGTATAAAGTATCTACTAAGGTTATCACTGAAAATTAATATGACGATTAGCTGATCAAAATACCATTTGATGCACCCAAAAATAAAGCTGTTTGCCTGGAGGCGGAACTCAGTAGTAGTGAAACTCTATTTTTTTGTGATGGGGGTTAGGAAACATTTTTATTTCCAATTCCCTGCCAGCTAATTTTATCCTATCTATAATAGTATGCTTTTCATGTGGAACCATATTGGAAAATCAAAGGTGATTAAGGTTGAAAAAAAATACTCAGTATAACTTTTCTGGAGTAGATCTCAACCATGGAAATTAAGAGAATTATTAAGACTACATAGGACAACAGATGGAGTTGAGCCCAATCAGTAAAGGCAAGAAGGACAGCAATATGCACAATTAACAGGAGTCTTTGGGACTTGTAAAGGAACCTATGTTTGACATGATATAATAAGATGAATGCATTGTTCTGAAGGAGGGACAAAAAGTTGTGGATTTTAAGAAATATGACTGTTGAAAATCATCCCATTGCCCAAGCCTTTATAAAAATAGTAGAACCTCTTATAAAGATTCTGCAGAAGTATGTCAATATCTCAGCAAGGAAGTATCAATTTAGAAATGTTGATAATAATGTGGGTTGTGGCTACGTTCACGACGCAGACATTAGGGAAACTCAATGTGCAATATCTGCAGATTGAGCTAAACATCTAAATTTGAGCTGCTTATCTAGTAGCTGTAGCCTTGTATATGTCATAATGTGTCTAGATATTACTTGTTTATGTTCAGCTCTAAAAATGCTGGATTGCCAACTTTATTAAGACTGCATTAGTATGTTGATCGCTATAATTTGTAAATACATTATATGTAAGCAAATTTTGAAATGACAATTTGTCAGTAGTAAATCATCACAACTTCTGCATTCTGGATGTGGATCTGAGTTCTGTCACCTGGTCTCCTTTTGGTGATTTATTTCAGTCCTTTTGTTCTTGCAGTTTTGGTTCTTTCTTTGGCCCTTCTCAGCCAGTTATTGCTTCAAGAGTTCTTGAAGAGCGCCGCTCAATACGAGACACCCAGCATATTATGTCTAGGATTCCAAATGCTTCATCTGGTGTATGTACCGACTTGCTGACATTTCCATATTGTCCTAGACTTCAACTGCCATTATTAAGTAGTTATTATTAACTCCTCTCTGCAGAATGCAAAGAGTCATGCCTACACATCTTCGGAGAAAAAGACAGTTGTACATAAGCAGCAACCTAGAGTTGTCAATGAGGTATTATTAACGCTTGGAATATCTAGCTGCAGGTGTTTCCATGATATATTTTATATATACCCAAAATGTAGCATGGAGCCTGTCATTTATGCAGGTTAAAAAGAAAGTACAGACACTTAAAGACACACGTGATTATTCTTTCTTGCTGTCAGATGATGCTGACTTCCCTGATACTAAGGAAGAGCGACCGCCTGCTCGAAAAGTTCCACATTCAAATGCTGGTGGGTTCTGCATCTCGATATAGACATGCAGCTCTTTAATCAAATTTAGTTTTTTCATAGAGGATACTTATACAGGATTTTGCTCATTTTGGAAGATGGTCGTTTGGCTCAAGCACCAACAAGGAGTAAGCAACAAATTGCCAAGCCTGCAAGGCCAATGCCCAATGGACATGGACTGAAGAATCCTTCTGCTAGAAATATTCAATCGCAGACCAGAGCGGGGCCAGTTAAAGGAGCTGCATTGGTCAAACCCAGACCATTAACAGCTGAGCGTAGAAAAATTAATAGCACAGGAAATGATTCCAGCCGACCTGCAGTCAACAAAGCTTTGCCATCCAAGGTTCCTGCACAGAGTACAAGTAGACCTCCTGCAAAAGTTATGAATGATCCTTATTTGAGAAATAAGCCATCATCAGCAGTGCCTCATTCTTCTGTTCAGAAGAATCGTTACTCTGACCAGAGACAACCAAGTCAGAGCTTGAGTAATGGAAAGTCAATGCCTAACAAACCATTACCTTCTGCGAAATCTCAGGTTTTAAGCTTTGTTTGTGTACTTGTGTTGAGATTTAAATTACCTTTGTGGCTTCTGTTTTGACGCTAATTTTTCAACTGATGAAGCCTCCTAAGCAATTCCTGCCAAGGGACAGCAATGAAGACCGACTAAAAAAGAAGCCGATGAAAAGGAGGTTAGATGAATCCGATGATGAAGATCCTATCGGAATGATCAGAAAGATGTTTAGGTTTGTATCTATCACAGTCATTCTTCGAATTTCTGGTTATTTAACGATTCTTCTAATTCCTGTTGGATATAAATTTTTAATCCGTCGCTGGTTGGAGAATAAGATATGTTCTGCCAAATAAGAACTGGTCTAACTTTCTAGGCCTCAAACTATTTTTAGCAAACATTTATCATAAAGCATCTTAAGGTTCCCACAAGTAGATGTTAGAGCAATAAAATTATGGGAAACTTGTACACGATGTCAAAATCTACAGCTTAAGGTATCTTATAAGGTATTCTTACTGTTCTTTGGGAGGCTAAAGATCACTATGTGATGACATTTGATATATGGCCAAGATTTTGAGTTGATAATCAACAGTGAATTCTTTTATTTGGCAGAGATCATCACACTAATGATGTTAAAATTCTGCTGTCTAGGTATAATCCTAACAGATATGCGACAGTTGATGATGATGTCAGTGACATGGAAGCTGACTTTAGGGAGATCCAGAAGGAAGAGAGGAGAAGGTACCCGAGTTATTATCTTGTTTTGTTCTTTAACTGTTCTGTAAAGGCTAGTGTTGGATTATTGAGCGTGTAAGTGGTTCCAACTAAAAGTTGATGTTTGTTTTTTTAAACAGTGCGAAGATAGCTAGGAAGGAGGACGAGGAGCAGCTTCGGCTCATTGAGGAAGAAGAGAGGAGAGAGAGGATGAGGAAGAAGCAAAAGCTAAAGCGTTAAGGTCGCCAGGAGTGAGCCAAACTTTTCTTCTCTTGGCGGCTGTTCTACTCACTGCTTTGCTTTTGTTATAGTGTTGTAGAAGCAATGGAGGTTGTAGATGGTGGAATAAAAACATTGGTTTTCATTGCTTTTGGGGTTCATTAACGTATCTTCGTTGAAGGGGGGCTTATGCAAATAATTTGTGGGGTAGTAGAGCCAGTGTTCACTATTTACTGTTTCCATTAGCTGAAGTTAGTTTCCTGGACCTGTTAAACATTGACCTGAACCTGAACTATGGGATCAACTCCTCGTTTCATTGTTACCGCTGGATTTTCTAAAGGTAAAAGAGGTTCGATAGATAAAAATTGTGTAGTTTTCGTTAGTTTTAGTTTCTCGGTGGACAGAAATGTTGGTGCAATCAGTAATGGCATTTGTGGGGGGTTTTTTTTTCCCCATTTATGTTTTATGTCTTGATTTTGATGTGCTACCTCCTTTTGTTTTACTGATCTCGTAGTGCATGTGTAATATGGCTTTTAATTTACCATTGAGTGGTGTAATTCATCAAACCAAACAAGATAAATCGGAATGCAAAAAGTTAATGGCTCATAATTTCGTGAATGTAGCATCGGCTCATATGCTGATTCAATCTTGTTTTACGATCAATAAAAGAGAGCAGATGTAAAGAAGATTTAAGTTTATGATTGGAAGGTTTTTCTTTTTTTTTTTCTTTTAAAAAAAATGCGCGACAAAATTTGCAATTAAAATAACTTATTCCATGCATTCATGGTTTCCCCTGAATTTTACAGAAACTGTCAAAACTTCTGAGATCATCAGTAAACGGGAAACGTAACCTCACCTTGATTAATGGTTCTCTTGATCAATGGTTCGTTTGAATTTCTTTCCAGCGTTTTAACCAAACGCTCAACTATAAATTCTAATTTGAATGACAGCAGCTGCTATTATTAAATTTACGTCACCATCCAAATATTTCCCCATATTGAGACTCCAAAATTGCTCGGCTTCCTATGTCCTAGTAGAGTAATGAGAAGCAAGCATGTCCCTCCATGATGATTGGCTGGCGTGTTGCTCTATCAACTATGATCTGTGCATAGCGATGATCTAGATTGCAATTATTCAGATGTATGTCATATCAGCGAGACACTGACGATTACCATAGCAGAGAGGACACACCAACCCCTGTTCTCTCACAATGTTACATACCATCTAAACGCAAAATGTATTTCAAAATAGAATCAAGTAAAATGTACTAATTGAACCTTTCATCAAAATTTCATGGTAGAAAAGAAAACACCAGCAAAATGGAAAAAAAAAAAGAGAAAGAGAAAAATGAACACTGAAACACGAAAAGATCCTATACACTTTGAAGTGAGACTCTGAGGTGCTTCACATTGCTAGGAAAGAAGGCTATAGGATGGCATGTCTTCTATCCTCATCACATCATCCGACAGAAGTTCCCTCTCAAGTTGTGCTCGAGCTAATCTCAAAACTTCCTGTTAACAAATAATTATCTCCAGCTTTTAGTTCATTATCGATACATTAAATATATATCAAATGTATGAAACTGCAATAACATTTTCCGAGGTGTAAACGCAAACTAATATTTACATTGAACTCCATATATGAGGCATTCTTGTCCAGCCACAGCTTGTCCATGACCATGAATGCCACACAATAAAGCAAGTCGAATGCCCACTCATCCTCTGGATGCACACCTCAAATATGCACGTGTTAAACATAACTCTATATCTCTATACTATCTCAAGTATATTTACTTACTATGCTGAACAATCACCTGATAGCATTTGGACAAAAACAGCTCGGACAAATGTCCTAGGCTTTGCTGCAAAAAAGAACATAAAAATTGAGTAAACATCTCAGTCCAGACTCAATTCAATGAAGATTTGATAAATTGGGCGGTTTCATTTCTTAGAAAGCCGTTGAAAAGAAGAGTGATCTCACAAGATAAAACAAAAGGCCAAACGGAATAGATTGCTAAGCCCATTTTTTAAGCTACAACAGAATTATGTTGAATAGTCTGATCATATGAATAGTCTGATCATATGAAGTATGATAGATATGCATGGATTGATCATTTTTATTGAAAAAAAAATTAATACATATCATAATTCATAAGTTGTCTCCTAATATTGCACCCATTTTCAAAAATAGTTCACAATAAATCTAGAGGACTTGTTAGATGTGGTCATGCACTTCGTCATCTGTTTCTGTCTTACAGCTTTGCAAAATTTTCTTTCACAAGACATTGCATCAGGAAGGGGGAAAAAGAATAATAAATAGCACTTCTGAAGCAAGCAACATGGAGGAGGAAAATTTCTTACAAGAATGCAGGTCTAACATTTGCATGATCATAAACGTGATATTCACGCCAGCAACTGCAAATGGATACTCCCAAGTAGCTCGCTTACCCCCCTGCTTATTAAGCAGCATCTGAAAAGATGCCTGAACAAACCATAGTAAAGAAACATCCTTAGCTGATGACTATAGATAAAACTGGAGTGTGCATTATATTCACCCCCACTAGAGTGACGTGCAGTCTACTGACAAATTTAGGTTGAATCCCTTGATTCATAAAGATCCAGCCAAAAGAATCGAGTTTTCCATCTCTTCTAGACAAACAATATTGTGATACAGGACAAGGGAAAAAAATATTTATATTAGCTCCTTAATATCTTTCATCTTTGAAATTAGTTCCTCAAATCATTAAAATTGCTTTTAGGTCCCCCTAGTTCTTAAGTTATTTTGAACTTAGTAGAAAGACCAATTAGAGGGATTAATTTAAAACAACTAACAAGAATTGGGGGATCCAATAGCAATTTCAATGATTTGAGGGGCTAAATCAAAATATCTTAGGAATTGGATAACCTAATAGCAATTTCAATGATTTCAGGAATTATTTCAAAATATGAAACATTTAAGGGACTAATATCGAAATATATGAGAAAGACCCAAGGGTACCACGATCTTACAGAAAATGTTTTTGCAAAGAAGAGAAGGTTCTCCAGTGAAATAAATCCAGCTCCCCTAATCAACAGCAAAAATACTTGCATGAACTCATCAGAAGACAAAGGAACATGAAAAGGAAAATAGAGAAGGCTACCTGAAGTCTGTTGATGGGTCCCGACCTTGCCATCCCATTTCTTTCCATTGGTCAGATATCAACCCGAGGAGTTCCTGATCCGGATATGTAGCTGACCAGAGAGCTCTTAGCGCTTCCTTAAAAGTATTGCAAGAATTATGTTAGTTGTTGAATCTGTGGCCTTCAAGTCGGAAGAAATGATAGCACGAAAGTTTAGCTTGTCATGACTAACAAAACGTCCCAACTAACTGGTGAATTGACACGTTACAAACAGTCATGATATTCAAATCCAGAAACAAAAATCTTTGTAAGTTTATATTATAGTGGAAGTGAATAATCACAAAGCTTTGTTTTATTTTTCTATCATAATGGTGTAAACAGACAGCTATAGGAGTCCCACAGACCTAAAGACTAACGTTCAAACCTAAATGTGTAAATCTAATTTTGTGACCAGTGTGAACAACTAACTAATGAGTAATTAAGGCGAGGTAGCGGAGACTCAGTTCAAGAGTAGCTAAATTTAATTTCATTCTTGTCAAGATTAATCTCAACATCCAGTGTCAGATTAGAGATCCCTTTCACTACACCAAACTCTGAAATGCAGATGAGGGTTGGGGCCCTTAAGGGTAGGTTTTTATATTCTAATATGCCGCTGCCTGTTGAACACCACTTTCATAGGCTGAAACATGGACCCACACTTCTTATTGTTATTATTTTTTTAATCAACTTTAAATTCGTGGCTGGGGGACAAGAACCTGGGTTGCTCTGTTGTAATGTTAAAGATCCTTCCACTTAGAGGTGCACAAAAATATCAGTATCCGTATCTGTTAGGATACGATATGGTTACTAAAACCTATATCCGGTAGGCTACGGTTACAAATATGAATATGTAGTGAAATATCCGGTTGAGCACCACTTTCATAGGCTGAAACATGGACCCACACTTCTTATTATTGTTATTATTTTTTAATCAGCTTTAAATTCGTGGTTGGGGGACATGAACTTGGGTTGCTCTGTTGTAATGTTAAAGATCCTTCCACTTAGGGGTGCACAAAAATATCAGTATCCGTATCTGTTAGGATACGATATGGTTATTAAAACCTATATCCGATAGGCTACGGTTACAAATATGAATATGTAGTGAAATATCCAGATCCGTATCCGAAATATCCGAATAGATATTGGTCATACGATTGTTATAATTTTAATCATTAGATTAATGGATTTGAATTAATTTTGATGAGCAAGAGATCTAAGATCTAATCTTTGCTTTTTAGATATAACGAACATATTAATGAACTTCCTTGTATCATATGAACTATATTTTTTTACAATATTATCTAGTTTTCTAATATCCGTTTTTTATCCACGTGTATATCCGCTTATAAATCTGCATGTCTATCCGAATCCATACCCGACTTTAGTGAATATGGATATGAATTTTCCTTACCGAGGCATATCTGTATCCGTGATTAGCAGGCAAATAGGGATATGCTAAGTATCATATGCGAACCGCATGCACCCCTACTTCCAATGCACTAAAACTCTATAAGTTATTGTGAGAATTGAGGGTTATAGTTTTGTACTCTAACAAGATTGATTGAACTGCTACCAATCCACTGTGAAAGGATAAATTACCAAATATATAACTAGAACACAAAGTCGCATGTGTCATACTATATGCATAATTACCTGATGATCTCGCTTAGAGGAATCAAAGTAAACCTTCATTCGATACTTTAATCTTTGTAATCTTTCCTCCTGCGAGAATGTAACAATTAATAGATGTAGAATCACAATTAATTAATCAGAAGATGGCTCAGCAACTGAATCAAAAGATTAAAAAAAGTAGAAATAAACAGTGAAATCTTGTTATTTCTGCAGAAAAGTTTGGAAACAAATACTGATATTTTTAATCTTTCGATAATTTAATTCCATAATAATTAACAGACCAGCTAATAGCCTCGTATACAATAAACCCTTGAAACTTGCCTGTAGTGGTGTGAGATTAATACATATACGCTCATATGTGCCCTTTCTCTTAATACAAACACAGGAAAGACCTTTTCCAATCCATCTTGGCGATCCACACGTTGAAATTGAATCATCTGCATAAAGCAAGTAAAATTCTATTGCAATACTTGCATGATATTTGGCACATTCAATATAAAAATTCTATTTATCCAGTATACTCCGAGATTGTCATCTCCCCAAAGCCAAATTACGTTCCATGATCAAAATCAAAACAGCACATGAGCATATAGAATCATAGAAGGCATAATTTTAAAAGTTTTCCTAACACTAAAACAAATTCTGTGGAAGTGAATGCACATATTACGACTACCAAAAATTAAAATTATTCCATATTATTTAGTATTAGAATTTCACCATACCTACTACTATGAAAAATACAAAAGTAAAAAATGGTACTAGCAACAAGATTATCACTTAATCTTTATTCTTAGATTCAGCTCATAACTGTAGCTAAATTGACAAAGTGTAAATTGAATATTTACCATTCATCCACATAAGCAGACCTTTCCAATTTTGGACAATCAAATTTTCTACGCACGATCACATATCACTATTTTTAACCTTGGGCTGTAACAATTCCATCAAATAAACTAAACTCTGTTCTAGTAACTAAACTCTGTTCTAGCAACTAAACTCTGTTCTAGCCTTTTACATTTACTTAAATGCTTATCAGGTCACCTAGCTGATTTTCTTTCAAATAATACAGCTTTATCCCATCTGCTTCCACTGCCGCAGGCAAAATTTCTCCACCATTGACTCCGCCCATTTAAATATCATTAAGATGCTCACTAATCAATACCTCTAATGACCCACATGATACTCCCATCCTCTCTCTACTGTATGGGCTCTTTCTCCAACAAACAATGTTATACAGCATTAGCATCCTAACTTAGTCAGTCATGTGTATCTTTCGATTTTTCATAAATTTGTCAAACACACCGCACGGGCAGGGCCGTACCTAGGAATTTTGGGGCCCAAGGCGAAATATTGGATGAGGCCTAAGTGATACAACTCATAATACATTTTATCTCATTCTTCTTACCTTTTGAGCGGCAAAATTACATATTATTTTCAATATCTTGTAACATGGTCGATCTTAAATAAGATTTTAGTAATTTTAATTTTGAAAAACTTCTTTCAGCGGAAGCAACTGTTACAGGTATAGTCAATAATACACGATAAGAAATACAAGTATTTGGAAAATAATCTAACTGTTTTATATAGTTCAACACTTCAATTGGACTATTAATCTCTATTTTTAAAATTTCCCTAAGCACTCTCAATTCTGAAAACAAATCAAGTCCATTAATATCTAAATGTTCATCATGTTTTAGTGCATTTTCGAGATTAAGACAATAATCTTTCAATTCAATATCATCTAAAGCTTTTAATTTTTTCAAATCAAACAAAAAACCAAATTTTTTTTCATACGTTTTAAATTGTTCAAACCTACTTTCAATTGAGCCAAGCGATTTATCAACTATGTATAGAAATATTCAATACGAAAAGATTCTTCAGCGTTAAATGTTGTTTCATTACAATATTTTCATCAAATTGTTTTTTTCTATGAATTTTACGTTTTTCACAAAATATAGGTTGTACGTCATTTCATTAGCAAGTTCTTTAGTTGAATTCAAAGCAGATATAAAAGCATTTTGTCTATAATTTTCTAAATATATATATATACAATAAGACCCTTTAATTGATCTATGACAATATCAATATGCATATCTTTAGATTGTAAGATTTTACTAACTGAATTAACAGCAAACAATATGTCATACCAAATATTCATAGCTATTAAGAATTCAAAATTTTCAATCTCATAAATTGCTAAGCTATTAACTTCACTTTTTATCTTTGGATCTTCACTTTTTAAATAGGGTTAGGTTTATGCTTAAGTAACTAAGTTACATATATTATATATATGGGTGGGTGGGCCTTATCCAACTTGGGGCCCAAGGCAAAGGCCTTAGTTGCCTTATGCTAGGGCCGGCGCCTAGATATATATAATATATATATATATATATATATATATCTATAGTTATATATATATAATATATATATATATATATATATATATATATATACTATATATATCCTCTCTCTCTCTCTCCCTCTTCTGCTATAATATATTATCATAATAAATATATAATTATATTATATATATATATATTATATATATAATATATATATATATATATATATATATATATAATAATATCAATTCCCACCCAAATCCCAATTGATTCTACTCATTTGTTTAACACTAATTGTACTCACTTATCAAGATTGTTTGATGACCCACATCCATCCAATCCTGCACATGTTATGCTAGTTTTATATAAATTTAGAAAAAGTAATATACACGCATTGGGATCTCTGAGGCCTTTTTGAGTAATTTGACAAGTATGTCCTGTGTAACCAAAACCTAAGGCGATGGGTCCAGCCTACCACCTATTTAATAATGTAAATTCCAAATTGACCAAATCCATGAACAATGCAGAGAAATTAGTACATAATCAAAAAAATTCACAATCTAGATATACTTGCTATTTCTTTACTTATATAAAAACCAAATTTTAAATAAATCTTAACTTATTTCTTTTTCCCTCATATTAGGTGAAATATCATGCAACATTGAATTTTCTGTTTTTTGGTTTTCTTAAATCAACTGAGAAACCCAATTATTACACTCACCTTCTCTATATTATGCTACTTCACTTTTTATCAAATATCAAGTAGCATTACAAGGCGTTACGGTATTAACCATACCAAGCAAGTTCTCCCCAGTGGGCCGAAACACTCAAATCAACATTCTAAACTTTACAGTTAAATACTTACTAGGCTCAGTTACCTCATTCTCTTTTCAAAGAAGACAACTTTAGCCCATATTCTTCAATTATAGGAGAAAAAATTCCAGAATTGTCACAGCCCACCATCGACTCTCCTGATTTAAATATCATTAACATGTTCACATAACCAAGATTTCTTATGACCCGAATGGTACTCTTATCCTCTCTACATTAAAAATACTCTCTCCACACTGTGTTGGCTTTTTCTCCAACATATAATGTTATGCAACTTATCTCAAATAATAGTAATAATAATGTTACGCAGCTTTAACATCCTAAGACGGTCAATAACATTAAAAGTAAAGATATCACAACTGCCACCAACTCTCATTGACTGTGCTGATTTATTTTTTAACACTAAAAGTGCTCAATAATCAAGAACGACAGTGTTAATTAGTTTAACGCTAAAAGTGCTCAATAAATCAAGATTGTTTGATGACCCCCACTCCATGTTTTGCAAATTTTCTATCAATCAGAAAAGCAATATACAACAACGTTGGGATATCCCAGGCCCTTTTCAGTAATTTTACAAGTACTTTCAGTTTAACCAAAATCTAGGGTAATGGGCTCCAGCCGATACCCTATTTAGTAATCTAAATTTCAAAGAGAGCAATTATCATAAAAATCATTAAAAAAAGTTAGAAAGGAGCAATCTTTTTCAGTTAATAAGTTTCTCCAATGTGACCCCTTTACTCCATTTCCTCTCAAAAAATACAACAAAAAAAATCCCAACAAATCGTGAAAAATATTAAAATCAAGAACCTGAAGCGGCC